ATAATGTATAAAAATTAATAAATTACAAAGTAAAATTATCCAATTGTGTAAATAAAACCTATTATCATATCAAACCTATTTCGTCAATAAATACTTTAAAAACATAAAAAATTAATGATTTTTATTATCTATATAAATAATGTGGCCTAAGTCATTTCTTAATTGATAAAGTTGAAATTTTTTCAATTTTTGAGCGTAATAACTTTAATTGGATAGAAGTTGAGATTATTTGATGTATTGATGCATTTAATGAGAGCTGAGAAAATAAATGAGAGTAACAAAAAAAAATCATATAGGAAAAAAATTTTAATATGAATAAGAAATTTCTTCAAATAAGGGACTATTGCGATGGGGTCCTCGATATTCATTGAATCTAAATAAAATAAAAATCAAAAGAGTTAAACATTTTTTTATAACTCAAAAACTTTTGTAAGGTATTTTAAAATAAAATAAAAAACAAAATCGAAAATTTTAACACAAAAATAGCATAGGGTAGCCATTATCACCGTGAAGAAAAAATAAAAATCGGATTTTTTTATTTGTATAAAAGTATATTACATAAGCTTTAATTTAAGATATATATAAAAGTGTCAGTATTTCCAGAACACATTCAAAAGCTATGTTGAAAACTAATTTTTTGTAAAAAGGTTGTCATTTTGATTCTCACCTGGGGCATGTGGGGGGTCAAATTAAAAAAATATATATTCCAAATGATAGGTATAATTGTATATATCCGTACATTTTTCAAAAAGTATCATTATAAAGTTAAAAATATAAAAAATAATATTTTTACAAAAATTGTATATTTTAGCTTCGATGCGAAGCTGAGAAGGTATTGGTTTTATTAAGATGTGTTTTTTTTTTATTTTTTTTTATTTTAGCTTCGATGCGAAGCTGAGAAGTTATTGGTTTTACTATGATGTGTTTTTTTTTTAATTTTTAATTTTTTTTTTTTTTGTGTCTGTTACCACTTTTTCTCAGCTCTCACCGAACGGATTTCTTTCAACGATACGTCAAAAGATCACAAATCGTATCTAGTCGAAGACATTACCCTTCAAAATTGAAAAAATTTCCCTCGTTCCCCGTAAATGGGGGAAACCTCCAAAAAAATTACAAATTTAAAAATCGCTAATTTTCGAAATTTTTTCAATTTTTTTTGCTATAAACTGCCGTAACTTTTTCAAAAATAAACATATCAATATAAATTTTTTTTATTTAGATGCTTGATGTCTTTACCTATCATTTGGTATATTTTTTTTGTAAATTTGACCTTTTTTCTGTCCACAGGGGGGGATTTAAAATGACAACTTTTTCACAAAAAATTAACTTTTTCAACTTAACTTTTGAAAATGTTCCGGAAGGTCTGACACTTTTATATATATCTTAAATTAAAGCTAATGTAATATACTTTAATTTGAAAAAAAAAAATTTGACCTCTGGACTTGTCTTCACGGCGAAAATGGCTACCGAATGCTATTTTCGTGTGAAAATTCTCGATTTTATTATTTATATTATATTTAACTTTATAATGCTATAACTTATTGAAATGTTTATTGATCCACACAATTTTTTTATGAGAAATAATATTTTTTAATAAACCCTTTTTCATTCGACATACTTTATCTTAATCGAGATATTAATAAGGAACCAGCAGATCAAGTAGCTTTTGGAATAAAACACCAATTTTTTTAAAATTAAACACTATCTAAAGATTTGCATCGAAGCGTTTATTTTTGATAGTGATTTTAATCACTGTCAGATATCATTATACTTGATCCAACTATAACACATCACAACTGTGCCGCGACCCCCCTGTGCTGGGTTTTTTTTATTATCTTTGATATCTGTTTTTGACAAGAAAACAAAATATAGCCTTAATTTTTTTTATATTAAAATATATTACATTAGCATTAATTTAAGATATATTTAAAAGTGGCAGTATTTCTCAAACATTTTCTAAAATTAAGTTGAAAAAATTTGACTTGGTCAGTGGCAGCTCGTGGCTTGGAAACGACAGGTCGATCGCAGCCCCTACTAAAATTAATTAAAAGAAGAAAATTAATCGTATATTCTTAATTCTTCATTTTTATTAAAAATGCAAATTTTAAAATAGTAAAATGGTTATAATACATATGTCGTGTGCGATCATTGAAGTTTTTTTCGTCAGTATAGGAGGGTACACTTACACACACGAGCAATGTTTGGACGACCGACAGCGTCATCCATACGATAAAGTATTAGTGTATTACTTTTTAGGGTAATTTAATTTTAGAATTAACTACGTGTACGCTTGTCGTTATCCGTTCCTATAATAGTATAATTGCTATTATAATTTTCATTTCTATTTTCTACTGCGACCTTTAAAATAATAATATATGTAATGTGTTTTATTTTATTATATTATTTAATTTGTCAATTTTTTATACCTATAACTAGCGGTATTATATTTAAAGTCATACCCCCACCACCAACACCCACAAGTCACCACTAGACTTGGTGAAATAATTGCTTATCTATTTTCTATATGCATTTTTAAGTTTGATCCCCTCTTGTATAAAGGGAAATGGTCTGATTTAAAAAAATATATATCGAATCAAAGAAATATGTAAATAATATTTCTCAAAAAAAATTGTATTGATCCATACACTTTTGAAAAAGTTATAGAAATATAAAATTAAAAATGTAAAATATAAAATCGAGAATTTTATCACAAAAATAGTATACAGTACCCATTTTTACCACGAAGACAAAATAAAGTCTGAATTTTTTTTTCCATATCAAAGTACATTTAATTAGCTTCAATTTACGATATATATATAAATGTCAGTATTTCCGGAACACTTTCAAAAGTTAAGTAAAAAAAGTTAATTTTTTGAAAAATGTATGGATCAATACAATTTATAATATTTATATACCTCTTTTATTAGACATTCTATTTTTTAAACTCATTTAATTTATATTAAAGTCAAGATTTTATTTTATTACTTATTACATTATAAAATGAGGTCTCAGTCCACCTAACTCTAAACTCATCTAATTTTCTCTCCTCTTGCTCTTCTGCCCTACTAAATTGCTTTTTCTTACTTTCTATGATTTTTTGAACGACCTCATCCCACCACTAAGTTTTCTTGTTTCCTGGCATTCTAGTCTTACTGTCCCCAACAATACCCTTTACAGTATTTTTTACTTAACTAGCAAATCTATTCTACACATCATTTATGTCTCCTTCGACATTCCACACCGTCCTCTCTTTTACCATTTTTAAAAACTCTTTTTCATTTTTCCCTTTCAATTTTCACCACCAAATCCTTAATTTTTCTTCTGTATTCCTTCTGTTTTTGCATATTCTTATTCCACTATATCACAACTCCATTACCATCAGTCTACGTTGTGAAGATACACTCTCACCTGGTATGATTGTACAATCTTTTACAAATTTACGACCTCTCTCTCTCTTCTACATATAATAATCAATCTGTGATCTATTACTCGCACTCTTATTAGTTATTTAATGTTCTTCCATTTTTCTAAAATAAGTATTAACCACAGCAAGATCATACGATACTGCGAAATCCAAAATTCTTTCTCCAACCTGTTCATCCCACTAAAACCATATCCTCCATGTACTCTTTCATATCCTGTTCATTCATTACCTACATGTCTCTTTATATCTCCATCTATCATCGCATCCTCATTGCGAAGTACTCCTTCATCAACTCATCCATCTCTCTCCAAAATATTGCATAGGCATTGACTACATTCGACAATTTTTTTTCGAAAATTAGTTTTACGTCTAGAATTCTGTCCCTTTTCCTAACTACTTCTACTACTTTATTTTTCATCTCCTCATACTATATTATCCATTTGTATTGGTCCTCCTCTTTTTAAAAGGACTAAAAAAATAGGTTAAAAATGACATTTTACACTGATTATGACGGCTGTGAAAACGTTGAAGATGACAAACGCAAACAAAATATTTTATGTGGACTTTTTTGAATGCGACAATATTATATAACATATTTATACGAAATTTTCATTATTCTCTACACATACCTCGTATATTTTTGGTTATGATGAGTTTTTTATAGACTAATATATTTATTCATAAGTTACAAAATATTATTTTTGAAAAGTATTGCATTAAGCCCTTTAAATTTTTATACACGTTCAAAGTAAAGAAATATATAACAACTATTATTTTGATAATTTCTCTATAAAAATTACAGTATTAAATTATTGAATATCAATTTATTACTAAGTTTAACTACCATAAATAGTAATTAATCATATATTATACTTTTAAATAAAATAACTACTAATCAAGATATAATTATAGCAATAGGAGTTGATGTTGCTTTTGTTATTGTCCATCAATTATTTAGAATCAAACACAATCTAAAGATTTGCTTCAAAGTATTTCTTATTATCACAGTCAGAATTATACTTGTTCCAATTATGCTACAACTGTACTGTGCTACCGTTTTATATTCTTTTATTAATTAAATGGACTATGATGAATAAACTACCCTTCTTTTTACCCTTTAACGATTTCAATTAGTCCTGTAATTATTTTAAATAATTTTAATTAATGTATTATTTTAATCTATAAATGTCTGTCTATGTGGGAACTTTACTGTGTCGTGTTTCGACTATATTATATATTTTTTAACTATTATCATATTATGAAAAAAACATGTAATACAATACATAAAACAATTAAAATTTTTAAAAATTTGTAAATCTTTGGTAAAGCTGAAAAATAAATAATTTATTATTATCCTTTGATAAATAATTTACATCAAGTATAACAAATAATTGTTTTAACAAAAAAATTCAATTAATTTTTATTTAGCTCTTAACCTTTATTTATTATTTGTATAAGAATAAAAATATGAATAAATTATAGTTATAGTTCATTTAAATGTTAAGTTTGTTTAGTTATTTGATATTATTTAATTAAGTATTTATATTTTTGTGAAGTATTTAATATTTAATGTGTAAAGTAAATTTATCAGTTGTATAAAAAAAGTTACTGTCAAAGAAACAATTCACAGTTTTTTAGTTTTAACTTTTTTGTTGAATTTACTGAAGTGAAGATGTACTCTCAAAATGTTATTACATTCATAACTCTTTGTTGTATTATACTAACATTGGGTTCGCCTATGAGAAATAAAAATGAAGCTGGCTCGTCATCGGTATTTTTTATTTTTCTTATTAGCATAAGTAAATTTACTTAAAAAAATACAATATTCATTCGATTAAGTTTTATTAAACTCATGTTAATAATAGGAAAGAGGTTTTATTTAATTAAAATTTATAAATGTATTTAAAAATGAACACAGAAAAAAAGAAAATTTTAATGTTAACTATCTCGATTTATTAATTTATTAATTTTTAAGCCTAATATTACCTATTATTTTATATTATTTATATTTGAATATTTTAGAATGAACCTGCATCAATAAATGAATATTCTGATTTTAAAAATTTATATAATTTAGCTATTGCTAATACAAGTGATGTAGCTATTCATAAACAATTGCTAATTGGTGTATTGGTACTTCTTAATAATACTACAATGAAAAAAATAGTTCAGGATTGTAAAGGTAATAGCATAATATTAAAATTCTTGAAAAATTTGAATTAAACTATTGTTATTAAGTTCAAAATATTAAAATTATATCTTTAGCATTATACTAAAATGATCTTGAACGCAATGTTAAAATGATATAATTGAGCTCGATGCAAAGCTGAGAATATATTAATTTTCAATAATGTATTTATTTTTAGCTTCGATGCGAAGCTGAGAAGGTGTTGGTTTTACTATGATATGTATTTTTTGTGTCTCTGTTAGCACTTTTTCACAGCTCTCGCCGAACCGATTTCTTTCAATGATGCATCAAAAGATAACAAATCGTATCTAGACGAAGACATTACCCTCAAAAATTGAAAAAATTTCCCTCGTTCCCCGTAAATAGGGGAAACCTCCAAAAAAAAATACTAATTTAAAAATGGCTAATTTTTTCAATTTTTTCAATTTTTTTTACTTAAAACTGCCATAATTTTTTCAAAAATGAATAAATCAATGTAATTTTTTTTATAAATCTGACCCTTTACCTGACTACAGAAGGATTTAAAATGATAACTTTTTCACAAAAAATTTACTTTTACTCTTAACTTTTGAAAGTGTTCCGGAAAATTTGACACTTTTAAACATATCGTAAATTGAAGCTAAAAAATTTCGGTCTTTATTTTGTCTTCACGGTGAAAATGGCTACCAAATGCTATTTTTGTGTGAAAATTCTCGATTTTATTTTTTACATTTTTAACTTTATAATTCTTTAACTTATTGAAAAGTGTATGGATCAACACATTTTCTTTATGAGAAATAATATTTATATCTATTTTCATTCGACATACTTTATCTTCATCAGGATATTAATAAGAAAATAGCAGTTCATGTAGCTTTTGGAATAATCACCAATTTTTAAAATTAAACACTATCTAAAGATTTGCGTGGAAGCGTTTTTTATGATAGTAATTTTAATCACTGTCAGATATCATTATACTTGATTCAACTATGTCACATCATCACTGTGCCGCGATCTCCCTGTGCTGGGTTTTTATTTTTTTTTTTGTGTGTGTGCCTGTCAGTACTGTTTTTGAGCTCTCACTGAACGATATTTTTTAATGATACGTCAAAATATCACAAATCGTATCTAGTTAAAAATATTATGCTCAATAATTAAAAATTTTATTTTTAAGCTTATTTTACGTACTAAAAATTAAAAAAATAATTGACCCAACGACTTATCTTCTACTTGCAAATGGCTGTCGTAGTTTTAAAACGTGCTATTTTGGTGTTAAAATTTACGATGTCATTTTTTCAACTTTAAATTACTATAACTTTTTGAAATATATATAGATAAATAAAATTTTTTAAAAATACTTTATGTTGACTTCATTCATTTGAAATACTCTTTTTTTAAATTGGACCATTTCCCTTTATACAGTGAGGTTTTACATTTTTAAAAATGCGAATAAAAAGTAATATTTTTCAACTTAACTTTTGAAAATGTTCCCAAAATACTCTAAATTTTAAATATAAATCAAATTAAATCTCATAAAAAATGCAGTAAATTAAAAAAAAAAAAAATATCCCGTATATAATATGGCCGTCATATTTAACGAAAACTGAATTTTATGTAAAAATCACTGTTTAACATGAAATATTTTATGACTTAAATCTGCCAAAATATTTTGAAAAATAAACAAATTAAAATAATCCTTTTTTATTTTGAAACCATAGATATTGCCCTTTCATGTGATAGCAATTTTTTGAAATCTGACTCTTGACCTACTCACAGAAGGGATCCAAAAAAGCAATTTTTGCACCATGTCAAACTTTTACAACTTAATTTTTGAAATGTTCCGATTATATTAACCCTTCTATTTAATATTAAATTAGAGCTTGTCGTCTTCAAAGATAAATGGTTATCATATTCAAAAATATGCTATTTTTGTGTTAAAATTTTCGATTTTCGATTTTAAATTTTAAATTTTCAACTTAAAAGTGCTATAACTTTTCGAAAAATATAATTATCAGCACAAATTTTTTTTTCTAAATACATTATAAGTACATCTTTCATTTGACATACTTTTTATTAAAATTGGACAATTTCCCCATGTAAAGGAGGCGTTCAAAACTTGTATAAAAAACATATATAAAATTAAAGCTTTTATGTACTGTAAAATTAAAAAAAAATTCGTCCCGATGACCTATCTACTATGTGAAAATTGCTGTCAAAATTTAAAAAAAAATGTAATATTTGTGATAAAAATCACCTTCTATGGGAATGTTTTTTGTACTTAAAACTGCCATAACTTTTTCAAATATTAACAAATCAAAATAATATTTTTTTATATTGAAACCTTAGGTAATTTCGTTTCGTTTGATATCATTTTTTTTTTGAAAATCTAACACTTATTCTGCTCACAAGGGGGATTTAAAATAGCAACTTTTTTACAAAAATTAACTTTTTCAACTTAATTTTTGAAAATGTTCCGGAAATACTGCGTCCTTTAAACGTATATCAAATTAAAGCTTATTTTATGTACTATAAAATGAAAAAAAAAATTTGTCCCGACAACCTATCTTCTATGCGCAAATGGCTACCGTATTCAAAAATATGCTATTTTTGTGTTAAAATCCTGGGTTTTGTATTTTATTTTTTTTTTAAATATCTTATAAGGGCAATTCACTGACTTTCATGAATATTTTATAATTTAAATGACATAGAATAAAGTTCATAAGGACTACTAATTAGGATATAATCAAAGAAATAAGAGTTGATGTTGCTTTTAGAATAATCCACCAATTTCTCTAAATGAAACACTATCTACAGATTTGCATCTAAGCGTTTCTTATGATAGTGATTTTAATCACTGTCAAATATCATCTATACTTGTCCCATCTATGCCTTGTCTACACTGTGTCTCGACCCCACTGTGCTACCGTTTTTTTTTCTTTTAATTCGAAAAAAGTAACTTTAAAATTTGTCAAAGGACGAATGAGACGAACAGTTGCTGAATCGTTAACACTTGTGTTTTTTTCGTCTGAGTTACGAGGTTTGAATTCGTTTGTGGCAATGATATTTTGCATAATTTCATTCTTTTTTTATAAGTTAATAATCGTTTTGAACTAATCAGTAAAATATTAAAATTTAGTGGTGATGGAAAATATATAATTGTAACTTTGAAATCAGTACGAATAATTGCTTGAAATAAGTATATTTTTGACTCAGTTGTAAATTCCGTGTAAGCATTTATTCATAATTAACAACATATTATCATCTGAAAAGTTTTTCATCAGGCCTTTCAATTTTTATACACGTTTGCCATAAAATTAACAGCTACTTTATAATTTTTCCGTGAAATTTGCACTACTAAATTATTAAATATCAATTTCATACATTTAAAGTCTTAGCAATCATTTCTATGCAACTGTTGGTATGTAGATAGTTATTTATATTGACATTTTTACCTTGTAGACCTATCAATCTATTTATAAGTAACAAACAACTTTTTTTTTTGAAAAGTAATAATTTCTTTATTATTTTTTTTATAATTTTTCCGTAAAACTTACAACGCTAAATTATTAAATATCAATTTAACACTATATTTAGTTGCTATAATAGATATTTAATCATGTATTAAACTTATACAGTCATATCTATACTTGTCCCAAATATGCCACGCCCACACAGTGCTACCATTTTTTTTATCGAAAAAATATACATCCACAAAAGAATAAAATGCATAAAACAAAACATGTGATACATTTTATAAAGAAGTCAGCTATTAGTGTCACTTAAATAAATAAAATAATAATTTTAAAACGAAAAAAAATAATTTTTGGTATATACTACATCTTCAAACTCTCTTTGTTTCACTTATTTAATAAACGTAAAATCTAATTGTTTATGTAAAACTTTCGGAATGTTTATTATATTATTAGGTGGATTAATAAACTTATTAATTTAATTAATTTATCAGTTAATTAGAATTAATTGATAAATCAATCTGTCATACTTCTAAGGCCATTTTGATTTTTTGGCTTTAAATTTCTGAGATATGTGATGATACAAAATTTTACCTTCAATTATTTTATTTGTAAATCAGATCAATTTTTTAATAGACTTTCTATTACAAAAATGATATATGGATGTGAACGACGGCGTAAGATAATAATTTCGTCACTATTATTTAAAACAATAAATTACAAATACTTTAGATTTGATAAAGTCTTTCCTACATTTTAACTACATAAGAATTTAACTTAGTAATTAATATTCTAAATTATGATTATAATGACACTGGCCATTTTAAGTATTGTTTATTAATATTTTAATAACTTGTAGTTATAAATTGATATTGAGACATCAATCCCTCACACACCTTTTCATGAAGTCGGATAACTGCCCTAGTGAATCTTAGATCTTACAGTTGCACTGTACTTACATATCTATCTCAATTTATGAAATAATAACTATTTTATAAATCCTTTCCTTTTTTTTTAAGAGTACCAACATATTGTTTTACTAAAACTTTTTTTTATCGTATATTTATAAGAAAATAAAACAATTTAGCACATCATAGTATTTGAATAATTATTTTAAAGGTTATAAATATATATTTCATCACTTTTACTACAACAGTGTGTATCTAAAAATTTGACAATATAAGATTTTTATCAATAATAAATAAAAATTTTTTTTTATGAATTTTGCTATATATTTTTTTTGAAACTCATAGTTCTATTGACAATTATGATAATGAAATTAATTCTTGCATTAAAACCTATACAATTTAAGTTTGTTTTTAATCATCCTCTAAACCTAGAAAAACTGAGATACGAACTATTACAGTGCAAACAACAATTTATATATTCATATGCAGAAAAAGAAGTAGAGCTGGCAAATTCTTTGTGATAAAAATAATCCACGTCATCCCCATTTAAATTTTTAAGTTATTATTTAAGGTGTTGCTTTAAGCCCTTACTTATTCTCTATAGTGATGGATGAAATTACTAGAGAATTACAAGGAGAGGTGCCGTGGTGCATGTTGTTTGCTGACGATATAGTATTAATAGGAGAAAATAGGAAGGAAATTAATCAAAGGCTAAAGGTGTGGAGATCAGCTCTTGAAAAAAATGGTTTAAGAATAAGTAGAAGTAAGACAGAGTATATAGAGTACGAGTTTGTCAAAGGAGAACACGAGGTAGGTGAAATGAGGAGATCAGTGACAATAAGCGAGTACGTGATTGGAGAGGTGGAGAGTTTTAAATATTTAGGATCAGTTGTGCAAAAGAGCGGTGGTATTCACGAGGATGTAAGACACAGAATTAAGTGCCGGTGGTTAAATTGGAGAGAAGCGTCTGTCGTCTTATATAAAAGAATTCCAATGAGGCTGAAAGGTAAATTCTATAAGACTGTAATAAGGCCAGCTTTGATGTATGGTTCACAGTGTTGGGTGGTTGATAAGAAAATAGAGCAGAGAATGAGTGTAGCAGAGATGAGAATGCTTAGATGAATGAGTGGAGTGACTAGAAAAGATAGAATAAGGAACAAGCATATAAGAGAGAGTATACGTGTAGCGTCAATTGTGGATAAGATGAGAGAAAATATACTTAGATGGTTTGGTCATATTATGAGGAGAGAAGAATCGGAAGTTGTAAGAACAGTTATAGAAATGAATGTTGAGGTAGAGGAAGACCAAAAAAGAGATGTAGAGATGTTATTGAATACGTCATGAGGACGGCTGATATGAGCGTAGATGATGTGGTAGATTGTGTCAAAATGAAGTTTAGGATAAGGTTGGCCGACCCCAAGTAGTTGGAACTAAGGCGAGGAAGAAGAATTAAAAATTGTTTACTACATTTTTCAAAACTTTATACTATAGTAATGTGTAATTTATACTATAGTAGCTAAATAGCTGAAAAGATATGAAATTTTTTAATAAATACTACAAAATAAAATATGTATTATTTATATTTAATATTCATTAAAATAATATAATAAAATTCTATATTTTTTAGCGATTCAATTCATAACATTATTTATTTAATTTTATTATCACTTTCAGATGAACAAAATAATTATGACGTACCAAAATTTATCGAATTGATACAACAAAATATTCCTAAAGACACAGTTAAGGATTTTAAATATAAGAAAACTGAATTTATAAATTGTTTATATTTATTTTATTCTGAAGGACGTGATTTTGTAGTCGCATCAAAATTTCAACAAATTTGTCGCTCTTATAAAGTTGAATTAAATAAAAATGAGTTAAAATTTCTAGATTATTTTACCGAAAATTGTAATGATAAGCTAAATTTTGAAAGTAACTATCAAAGAACATTATATAAATAACGTTAATTTAAAAAAAATTAAAGTATTTAAAGTTCAATAATAACTCTATTGTGATATATTATTTAAGATTTTATATTATAAATATTCATTGCAATAAGTTTAATAGATGATAGTGTGACGTTTTATACGATTATTTTGAAAATAGTCGGTCATCCCCAAATAACATGAATATTAATATCAACAATAATTCATTCAAATTAATTGTTATATTATACACGGTCATTCATTAACTAAGCCTCATGAAGAATTTTTGAAAATTTAAAATTAATTATTATTTTATTTTTTTAATATTAATGGTATTTTGTTGAGTATCTTTACATGGAAAATTATTTTTCTGGAATATCCCTTATACCCTTATTCCGTATGAACTTTCAAATTAAAATGGTAACCACAATTTTTTTTATACAATCAGAATTATTCAATTGAACAAAGATATTTGTTTAAATTTTTTTTAATATTTTTCGATATTCGATAGTCATATTTATTTTTAAAAGACGGCATCAGATCATATCGTAATTGGTACCGATTCATAGAAATTATAAACTATACAACCTAAAATGGTGTCATGAGTCGGTAGCACGTATCAATTTACGATCCAATAATAATCATTTAAATATAAGTATAGTATTTTCTATCACACTTAAACTTTTAACAGCTATAGCTTGTTAAAGAGCCATTAATATTATAAAAATAAAATAATAATCATATCTAATATTTTCGATGATATTTCGTAAGACTTAGTTAAGTAATCACTTTGTATTTTTAGAAATTGAATTTGATATGAATAATCATGTTTTTCCTAACAAAAAAACAATTTATTATAAAGCAATATTGAAGAATATAATCATCATTGTTTAAAACATTAAATCATTTATTATAAGTGAATGTTAAATTAATTAAATAAAATTGTTGCACATACGACTTAAATAGCAAATCTCAAAAATGTCAAATAGCTTTTAATGTAAGGTGCAAACAATTTTTTTTCGTTAATCTTTATTTAAATATTTATCAAATTAACATAACACTATAATAAATAATTTGAAAAATATTATAGATATATATGGTTATTAAAAAGGAACTCTTATGTTTTATTTATTGTATTAAAAATTACAAACTGTATTTCAGGTTTTTCAGAAATAATAGAGCCACATTATGAAGTGTTCATAAGAAATTTTGTGTGGGATCTATAAAAAATATATGTTTTCAATTTATATTTCAACTTTATTAACTTTGATGCGTAACTGAGAAACTATTTAATTATAGTTTTAATTATTCATGTTTTTTTTTGTGTGTGTCTTATTATTAGAATGGTCCTTAATTTTTATCAGTAATATTCCTCTAAATCGGTTCATATTTGTAATAAAAAATTGTACAATATTTTGAGTTTATTGTTTACGCCATGCCCTAGCCATTAAAGTTGAAAAACACTTGTTTGTTAAATTATCCAGTATTTTTAGTTTTTAATTTAATTTCAATACAACTTATTCATATTGAAAAATGCAAAAAACATTATTAGTAGAAAAAACATTTTTATTCTACATAGTTTTTTGATTAATGCATTATTTTTTTTCAAATTATTGATAGTATAAATACATTTTATCAAAAAAACAATTATTTCAAAATCTTTATTGTATAATTTAAAAACAAACTATTTACCAACGAAAATATAACTAAATTATTCATTAAATATATTATACATTAGTTAAAATAATTAAATTAAAAATAAAAAATATATTTTAAACTATTTAAAAATTAAAATGGTCTTTTACTGTCTATAACTTGAAACACAAACTGTTAATTTTTTGTTCAAATTGTATTAAACTCCTTCATAAGCTGAACTCCTCTTTAGCTGTATCATTAGTAATAGGAAGCGTCTTAACAATTTCAAGACCTTTTTGAAATTCTTCGTTTTCAGTTCACGTTGATATGGGCTGATCCAAGAATAATATTGATTATCCAAATCGTAAAAAAAAGGAAGTAGATTCAACATAAAGCAATTCAAATATTTCTTTTTCTTTGAATTAAATTACTTCATTATATGAAACATTAATTCTTTTACTATTATCAAAATTATTGTTTGATTTTATAGTTTCAACTATTTTAGTTTTAGTTCAACTGTTAAATTAGTACCGACAAATGTCAGTGCCGATGTTTCGGTGGTTAAATACCACATATTTTTTTATAGTTGACTAGGATTTATTTTTATCTGTATTTTGATAACCAATAAGTCTTTCAAAATAATAAGGTCTTGAAAAAGAGCTAATGAAGCAATAGGTGCACCAAACCATGTTTTTATATATAATAGAATGAGAAATATGCAAATATTGCGGAATAAATTTTTTTCACTTTTTGATAGTTTAAATGAATCACGAGATAAAAAAATGATCAATGAATATATGACTTTAAACATTCATTGAGCATGATTTATTGCTCCAAGATATTTGAAATATATGCCACGAGTAGGAGCACCACCAAGAAATATAACAGCTAATTACAGCAATTCTATATACTCGTGTGAGTTATGAGTTTTGTTTAATTGGTCCATATAAAAAGCTAACATATCATTTTGAATATCGTTTAATTTTTCATTGACTATTATATCATCTAGTCCTGTTTTAGAATTATTAATATTAACTTTTGGTCAAAATTATTGAAACCGTTTAAAAATTTAAACATCTAGACCACACGTGACGTCAGCACATATATCAAATGCAGTTTTAAGTAAGATTTTCTTAAATATAATGCCTATAAGGAAAATAAATAACATCACGTTCTAATAGCTGTTCAAAAATTATACCCGCCCCTTTTATACGACCCGTATTCGAAACTGTTGTATACAACAAAACGCTTGTACATTTTCGATAGTGCTGCAAACAGCGCTTCTACTTGATTTTGACCGATTCCCGATATAAGTTTAGGTACACTTAAAAGTTTTTCCGAATTTTTAAAAGAAACAATTACTGGATTAAGATCAACAAGTTCTTTTCCTGTTAAATCTGAGAGAATCTTTCCATCCTAATGAACAACAACAGGGCCTATTTGTGATGTATCGAATGCGATTCGACGATTATTTGCTCTTTCCTACCGTAAACATATACGTAATTGATTAATACAAGTTCAGTTCATAATTAAATTATTTAAGTCAACATTAAAAGCTTCAGAAGCTGCAGACAATGTATGAACTGCATTGCACTTGCAAGTATCGGTGTTATAAAGTGTTTTTTACCTCTGAATTGAGGCGCAGAAAGGTATTAACATTCAGATATTTTTTTAAACAATGTCTAAGAATTTGTCAGTAACCTTAATATCAGTATGGCTATCGGATTTTAGATCTGATATTTTTTTACTGTTTGCTTTTCTTCGGTTTTTTGTAAATTATTTTCCCAAGCATACAGCCGACTTTGCCTTTTTTTCTTTAAGATAAAAAAAAATTACCGATTAAATTAATTTTAGTTAAATTTAATGCGTCACTATGTGAAATATCGAAAAAGATAACCAACCCCTCGACAAAATCAACGTGCTTTTTTAATTTATTTCTGTTTAACGTGATGCATGTTTCTATACATCTTTCCATTTATTATAAAGTGATTCTAGGATTTTTTTATTATTGTAATCTCGTCTAACTGGAATTCGCGCCTATTGACAAAAAACAGTGATTTCTTGTATAAAAGTTAAGCACTTTCATGTAAGTTAAGTTTGACTTACGTATATTGAAAAATAATACACGTAAAGCTTATCTTTTTGAAGGTAATTTACTTCCAGTAATTTGATACAGTCACTTTCGATTAAAAAAATTGTATCTTGATCACGAAGGATTATATTTGATGTTGATATCGAAGCCATATTGAAATATAGTACTTTTGACTGTTTTACGTATTACTTTAGTAAGTATAATAACACTGACAATAGCTCACTAATCATTTGTGACATTAAATAGTAAGAAAGTTATACATTTATGTTATTACTTTTAAGGTATTGTTTGCTTATAGAAATACCACTCATGATTACTGTTTATGTTTAAATATAATCCTAAAATTTCATATTATATTACAATTGATTAATAAGCAAAACTTAAAAGGAAATATTTTTACACATTTATTGTTTTGATGTTACATAGTCAATGAATTTTAGTGTTTTTTTAACCAATCATTGTAGAAAATGTTACATTTATTAAATAAATACATAAAGTAATAGTTATAGTAGGTTAAATTATATATTACAGCCCTTAATCGTATCCTTATAAATATTTTCAATGATAAATTGATCAAGAATTTTTAAAAAAATGTCATTGAAACCATTGAAGAGGGTAAGATTGAATAAAAAAAACACTATATATTAGAGGACTACTCTGTTTATATGAATATTCCATTTCTACTGGAACAATTTTACTCATCGGTATGTCAAATATCACAAATAGGTTTTAATTGAATCTTCAGACATTATAATTAAGGAATTACATGAACTTGTAAATTTTGTTTAAGTCACTTTGGAGGTTCCCGAATTTGTGTAAATTTGTCATAAAATATACGGCAAAATATTCTAGTGTACCTTATTTTTTGCAATGAAATATTTTTCGTTTTAAGAGAAGTAAAACTATATACTAAGTAACAATACAATACTAAGTTTCAAGTCAAATAATAAAAATTTATACTGACTGACTCACAGTGTGTTAGAATTAATGAAAGAAATTTTTTTAAGTAAACAGTATTTTACGACTTAAAAAATAAGTTTCTTTCCTCCGATTTAATTTGATCTACTTTTAACACGGCATATAAAACAATTAAATGTTCTAAAGTATAATTGTACTCAACTGTATCATCGTATGATTATATGATTTATATGAGTATACCTGCGTTTCATTAGTATTTTTAACTTAAATTATTGCCTGCTAACGTTTAGAAAAATATTATAGTACACATAAATAAAAAAAAAAAATCAGTTAAAGTATTAATTTTGTTTAATTATATTATGTTATTTAAAATGAATATATTAACATTTTACTAGTTACTAGTTACAATTTAAAAATTTCAATTTTTATCACACATTTAATTCATTTTTTGTCAATAATATTTTGAGTAATTGAACTGTTAAGTAATTAATACATACATTAATATTATTAGTATTATTATTTAATATACAAAATGATTACTGGACATTTGATATAATACTGATAATAGTTATGGATTGCTGAATTATAGATATAATATATTACATTAAAAACATATTTGAGTTTTCAAATTAAAATTGAACTGAAAAAAATCTTATTTACAATATTAGCAGATATGCATGTAGCAGTGATTTCAACAGCAGATAAGATAATTCATATTCTAAATCTTTATCAGATTCCATTGTCAATAATTCAGTAATATTGTTTGATACATATTTGTTGAATGGTGTTCCTGATAAGCTACAATATAAATAGAAAATATATGAGTATCTTATTTTCAAAGAAATAATAAAAGTATTAAAATAATACATTACCTTCAACATCACTGCTACCAGATGAACTACCTTAATGGTTATTAATGGTACTTCGCACTTATTTTCTGTAGTAGATATTTCATTTCGAAATGCTAATTCCATGCTTCTTTAAAATTATATATAATATATAAATTTAATTTTGTTCGTTTTAATTATTTCTAACTTAATGAAAATTTTTAAAATTTATATGAAAATATTAAGTATTAACCAAAAATAATAATGATCAGCTAAATTTAGAAGGTAACTATCAAATAAATTTATATAAACAACCTTCATTTATGTTAACGAAAAAAATTAGAGTATCTTAAGTTTAATAATAACTCTATTGTGATACATTAAATAAGATCTTATATCATAAAAATAAAACAAGTTGATATGATTTTTAAACCTCACAGTATCTAGGTTATTGATTTGTCATTCAAAAAAAATTGGTAAGAAATTATCAATTATTATGTATTTTCAAAAAAAAATTTGCAATAATCCGACGAGTCTTCAAAAACTGTTTCTATATAAAGTGTAAACTAAAAATTGACTGTATTATAACACTTAAATTTTTTGTAATATTCTTATATTACGGGAACTTTTGGGGGAATTTATCAAAACTGTGATACTAACAAGATATAATTTGTTATATTTGAATTTTTGTTGAGCAAAATCAGTCTTATATGAGCGGAGAAACCCAACCGAATCTACACACACAAAAAAAGTAAAACCATTGCATAAGTTTTCAGCTACGTATCAAAGTTAAAAAAAATGTTTTATTGTCATATAATATCTTATTTCTTACAAAACATTCTATACTAAGATACAAAAGCAAATTACATTTTTTATAACTCTGTGGCTCATATCTAAATATGTTTTTATGATTTTTACAAAGGATGTTTTTTTTCGTGTATCAAAAATCATCAAAAAAATTTTAACGCTTTCTGTGCAATTTTACATATACAGCATATAAATTATGTATTGATAACATTAGGCTATGTTATTTTCATGTTTTTATGTCTGAGTGACTAAAATGTGCTTTTAAAAGAATAATTATGTCAATGTATGTTATTTTTTTAATATAGTAAGTGTAGCAAAACATTTAAAATATCTTTTATAGGAAGTATTGAATATTATTATCGTCGGACGTTGAAACATATTTAGAATGAATGGAACAGTTATTTTTGAGTTATGAAGTCAGCAATGATAAAAAAATATCTTTGTTTCTATACCTTTTTTGTAAGATTAATGATAATATTCATATTTTAGAGTATATGGTTTTAATTCGAGCGAATATAAATAAATTTAATTTTTATTTTATACAACAGCTACAGAAAAACATCACGAATAAATAGTTGATGTTTTAAGTCTTATTTGTATCAAAAAAGTAGTTAGAGGTTTAAAAAAAAATTAAATAGAAAAGTTAGTTTTCATTGTCATTTGTATTTGTTATTTTTATATTTTTATTTATTTTATTGATATAATTAACGCCAAACGATTTTTTACACTAGAACATGCTAAAAAAAAATATAGTATGGTAAAAGATAAAATATAAATTTGTATAAATTGATGTCTGTGTGATTAAATATGGTAAAATAAAAAATCAATATATAAAATTACACACAGGCACACCTAGAGAAGTCATCAAGTCGATTTCCTCTTTAATAAGTATTTTAATATTCTACTTTTTTTTAATTACACGGTAGACCAGTTAAAATTTTAAATTCATCCAAAATTTCTAAGGATAACAGAAGGTGACTTGCTCTTAATTAGGGAATGATTTTTTATCAATTGGTCTCAATATATGAAATACTATTTTTAACGAATTTCAAGTTTTTATTTTAAAATATTTTTTTAATTTTTCAATGAATCTTATAATGAAGGTAGACTTTCCTTGATTTTAATTAAAGCTTAAAGGTGTCAACTTACTTCCGTCTCCCTCTATAAATTATTTCTTTTATAAAAATTGTTGAAAATAAAATAAAAATTATAAAATTTTTACAGACATTTTTTATCTTGGAAAAACAAATGTCAAATTTTGTATGTTTTAAAAGCAATTTATATACAAAAAATTAAATAAATTATAGTTAAAAATCTATTTTATAAATAAAAATTATGTCAATGTTAATATAATAGCACAAAAACTTTAATATTTTAATCATTTTTCTTTTGAATTATTTCAACTTAATTAAATTGTTTGAATAATTTAAAAATGTATTTTCGGTCTTTCATTATTATATTCAAGATCTTTATGTTATATTAGATTATTGGCTTTTACAATAGAATATGATCTAACAAAATCAACACTGTTTTATTGAACAAAGTTTTATATGAGAATTTCTTTCAAAATAAATGCAATATTTAGATTGATTAGTAAGTAAGGAAAAGGATTTCTAATGTTCTTTTGTTTGTAATAATTGGCCTATTTCTTTACTTTTTGAATACAGTAAATTAAATTTCTAAATAATAAGTTAGCTTATTTTGTTTTTTTTTCTTGTTAATAAATAAATTTTCGAAAATTTAAAACTTTTAATTAAAATATTTTCTAATATTTTAATCCATTAAGACAAAAATATTTTATGTAAATTATTTTATTTTATGATAAGCAATGAATAATAAATACCTTTAGATTTGAAATGTTATAATATCTATTCTAATAAGTGTAGTTTTTTAATTTAAATAACGAACAACCAACATTTTTTCGTTTGTCTGATTATTGAAAATAAAATTAGTTTGTCTTAAGAATAATGTTTAATTTAATATATATATTATATATTTTTTTATTACTGTTATCTATGGTTTTAAATTCATAATTAAATTACCTACTAAATGTGTTGTTACAACTTTTATTTTATGAATTTTCTAATAATTTATCCTTTATCTAGGACGATTCGATGACAAAAAATATATATTCCGATCTAAAACTTGTACAACTTGTTTTGAATAGATTTCTATTTATTGTTTCAATTTTTATTATACGTAAATACTCTTTTTATTTACTAATTAGTAATTATTAAACAAAGGATTGTTTGAAAAAATCTAATTACATCACCGCAAAAATGGTTTTAGAAAAGTATTCTCTGGTCTCTGATGTAAAGTCCCCGTAGACCAGTATATTTGTTGAAAAAATGATTTTCTGAATAGCTTTTGCATCGAGCATTTCAATTGTGACACTAATTTGTCATACGAGTAACGAAATATTCAGCTACTTTATAACTTCTCCGTAAAAATTACAATATAAAATATCGATTTCATACTAAATTTATTAACTGTAATGAGTATTAGCAGTCTACACTGTGCCGCGACTCCTGTGCGTTACCGTTTTTTTTTTGCTTTTCATTTACGATTGCAATCGATAGGCAAGTGCATCCCTCTGCCCTTCCACCACAACAACAATATATTTTTTTAATACATCATGATCACGTATAATGATGATTATACAAATGAACGTCTCACGAAGGCACAACGTGTACAGGTGTGCGTATTGGATTAGTATAATTTAGAAATTCATTAGAAAAAAATGAGTGTGTGTGTAGACTTTTGTGCAGTAGGTGGTAACCGATTGCTTTGATATATTAACCTTACAGTCGGCGGCCGTCGGTCGGGACTTTTAAACGTCAGTACAAGACGTAATAATAACAATTGGAATTAATGTTTCCGCCGGATATTATTAAACAACGTCGGTGATGATTAAAACGCTGTTTAATCGGTCCCAATGCAAATTAACCACCGTATTGAATGTGTACAGGCGGCGAGTTCTGGTGGTGCGCGTTTGTAGTGCTCTTGTGCGTTTGTGTGCAGACACAATACACTTGTATAAATTATTGCGAACGGTTTTCGGCCGTCGTAATTAGGCGACTACTCGTACGCGCTCACGTTAACAACACAAGAAGCTCGTGAAATTAACGGCCGACGCGTTACAAGCCAATTATTCTCGTGACACGATTATTTACGACCGTACGAGATGTTATTATCGTTACGCGGTTAAAGCGCAAGAGGGCAGACAGAGACAGACAGCACCTCCAAGTCTGTGCGGAGGAGACGTACTCGTAGGTCCTATCGCGTCTCGATGTGGTGCTGCGCAACACGTATAAATATACACTAGAATTATAATGCAAATGAAAAACACAACAGTTCCCGCGGGACAATACGAAAAAAAAACTGCTCACGATAATTTACTGCGTTTTCGATCCTATTTATGTTTTGCGTCGGAACGACTGAAACGGAGGACAAACCTGCAAGTGCATCTTCTTAGTGCAGGTTTTTGATTTTAAAAATAACACCGTAACTAATAACGACCAAAATATATGGAAATGTCTCCACGTTGCACTCGTTTTCTTTACGATAATAAAAATGTCCGACTGTTTCAACGTGTCCAGCGAGTGGCCGCGGCCGTCATTTCAGCGCGTTGCTTGTGTCGTTCGGTGGTGTCTGAACCTCGACGGCTCAGAAATAGCCGGGACGACTCTGGACCGACAGGAAGGTGACACCTTGTCCCACCGCACACAAAACTCACCGGTGTACAAATATTAAACGAATAATACATCAGTGAGGTCTCATCTCAGTGGTTGCTGATACAAAATTTCATTTTTTCTCTGAAACTCTGGAAAATTAAATCTCACAGCAACTCGACGTTTTACAGTAGAAAGTTTATTTATTTTTATGGTTTATCACAACTAGTTTTATAAACTTATTTTAGCGTTAATTTAATATCAAACGTGTTACAGATACATTCCAGTAACAAACTTGGTTTTTTTTTTTTTTTAATGAGAGCAAGTAATAAATTAGAAAAACGTATACATTAAACGCGCAATTATTGGCGTTGCGACAAAAATAATAACCAAGTTTGATGTTAAAACTCATTGGTTTAAACATCAAACTTAGTTCTGACCAATTTGGTGGTTGAAACCCATTCCTTACAGAGAATCCTCTCGATTCACGATTATGACCACTTGATATAAATAGGCACGACTAAACAATGTGCTTTCGACGCCTTAAAACTTGATCCGGTTCTGCTTACAAGGGCTAGTAATTAATTGCCATCTTTAAACATACTAAACTATTAGAACAGATTATTTATTTATTTTAAGGTGCCGGATTTGATATAATTTACTAAAAGAAATTTATACACTACACTATTTTAGCAATTAGTTAGCTGTAGCTAACTAATTGATAAAATTAAATGACCAGTAGTTGAGAGTGTTATATTTGGTAATTCGTACTCAAAAAAAAAAAAAAATTGACCCGTCCAATTATCCTATAGGATATATTTTTAATCGAGCAAAAATTCCCTGACAGAGGAATCGGGAAAAAAAAATATCTGATTGCAGTAAAAAAATACGGGAATCAATTTTACAGACCCGATTATTATAATCAATTTTACTTTGATATGCGCATTTATTTAAATAGATAACCAGTCGAGCGTTATGTACAAAATAAAGTGTTGTCTTATAATGAACTTGTTTGAAATATCGATAAGCAAAAACGGTAAAATGAGATGTATAATGACTTTGACACTATAAAAAAAGGGTTTTTAGCTTCCCCTAGCAGAAATTAATGCTGCGTCACTGTTGTGTCGTAATTATATTATCATTCATACCTTATAAGGGATTGACAAACAAAGTACTTAATAATTAATAAAGCGACTTATCGATTATCATCATATTTTCTTTGGTTATTCAATTATACATATGAATATAATATAATAAATAATACTCGTTGATGGCAAGATTATCGCTGTATACAGTTTTGTACTGACACAACGGTCAAAATGTATTTATAGTAAATAAATTTGAATTATGCTAATAAAATAACGTAAGACTAAACAAATTGTACGATGACTCGTGATTAATTAACCGTAAAACTAGACATGCGATGGAGGCGATTAATTGACTTATTACTAATGTCATCCACAACTATTGACGTTATTAATTACAATAAGTTTACCTGAACGGTACACACAGTCAACATCTGCCGCGCAGAGGAAACCATATCATTTCGACGAGAATGAGCTCCACGACAGTCACTACAAAAGTCATCACCAGACTACTCACAGCTATTAGTTACTTGGGTTCCAAAGTATTCAGGTGTACCGTTAAATATATTACTCTATTTTAGCTTCAGTTTTATAAAATTATTGTGAGGCCCGAAATAGAATGAAACATACATTTTTTTAGTTTCATATTTAGATATTTTTCTTCTTTGTCTTAAAATAAATCATCTATTATTTAACGTTAGTAGTAATCAGCGTTTTAATTAGCTATCATTTTTTATGCGAAATACATAGATTTTTAACTCCCGATAGTTTTATTGAAAAATTTATGTATACTATATAGAATTAACATGTAATAAAAAAAATATAAAGCTTGAAATAATTAATAATTAAATAATAATAATTGATTCACTACTTACAATTATCAAACCTAAATCGTAACTATAATCCAAAATTGCAAATTATTTTCTTCATTCCGAACAGAAGCAAGCGTTTTCAACACAAATTATGAAAAAAATAGTTTTTTATAAAATTATATCGAGTTAACATTGATTGTTATTAACTTTAAAAAAATAAAAACTACTATGTGTGGAAAACTTGTAAAATCTGAGATAGGAACAGAATAAAACTGAATCACTAGATTTTGTAAATGTAAATTACAAAATTATATAAATTTTTATAAATGACAATTTACCTTTTATGATTTCTGAATGTTATCTAGTCGCAAGTGCGTTTCAGGTACTACTCAATTATAAATTATCTCCTACAACCCAAAAAAATAAAATCTTTATCGTATTGAGATTTTCATTGTATCATTAATTTCAACACCTCGTCGTTAAGTTATTGGTCCCCGACACTAATCTTAAAACTTTGAAAACATTTTCTTTATTTTATGTATTAATAAAAAATAATATCAAAACTTTGATCACCCGCCCCCAATATTTAGGCCTCTATATACATCCCCTTCGTAGGGGTCTTAATTAGTTTCATCAGAATTATATTTTATATGAGTTTGTAACAATTTTCAGATTGATGCCGATCTAAAAAAAAAAATATAGTGAAAATCAAAAAAATTAATTGATTATATCACAAAGTAGTTGATTAATATAATTTGGTCACAATTGCTCGACGCCAATTTAAATAACAATATATCTCTGCGACAACTTCTTTTCCGCCCGTGAATATGAACGGGAGAGTCGATGGAGCGGTGGAGAACAATACAAGGTGGTGATGTGGCGAAGGCGGTGGATATCGCGAGCGGATCAGCAGCGACGGAGAGGAACAGCGCGAAAAAAACTAAGGTGGCCGGGTCGGGTTAAGAGGAGGGGAGAATCGGCAACGAGCTCACATTATCGCCGTGTTTTACTGCGGTGGGACCACGCCTTTCTACAGCGACGTCCGGTTGGGAGGGGAGGAGGATCGATCCGAGACCGGATGGCGAGGTACGCCCACAGCGATCAGTGGGACGGCGACTGAGCCGGTGACTTGCGCACTGTCGGCCGGACTAGTCAGTGTTATACGGTATCCGTCGCGGTGCACGTCGATGCCGCCGCCGCCGTCGTCCAAACAGCATTCACCGTCCGCCGTAGAAACACCGCGGTAGTACAATTAGTACGTTCGACAACGCAGAACAGAGAAGCGACACCGCGATATGACGAATTTCGGTTTGTGCGGCTTCAGACGGTGGTAATCACCACAATAAACTAATCCGAACACTGCAGACACGCCACCCGAAACTCGGTGGTATCCGCGATATTTGAGTTTGAACTCCGTTCCGCCGGTATTTACGCGACAATTATGATAATGGGGACGGCTAATCAGGAACAGCATCCGGCTAGTGCGATCAAAAAACCAACGGACTTTTCGATCGACGCGATAATGCGGAAGGATGAAGCCGACCCAACCGATGCCGATCCTCGACAGATATTCGGTAAGTCGTAGGAAATGAGCGTTAGTCGTAAGCTACAAGTGTTTGTTTTATTTATTTATTTATTTTTGTTTACTTTCCCGATTAAGATGGCGAAGGTTCGACGACAGGTACGGGCTGTGTCGAGGATATCGACGTCGAGGTGGACGTTGTGGACACTTCTGAACCGGAGGATTTGGCCGCAAACGCCAGCACTCGCCGTCATCTCCACGACGATCATCGTTCGAAACGGCACAACGGTCACAGTGCTGGCAACAAGAAGAAACGATCCCGAGGATCCGAGACGACGGTTTCGTCCGAAGACAGCGGTGACCAAACTCCACCGCCGCCGCCGATGTCCTCACAATCGTCTACCGACTGCCAGGCAACCGGATCCACGAAATCCTTATCGGCCGTGTTGGCCAAATGTAACAGTCCTGATTTGGCGTCCACCGAATGCTACCTCGAGTCAGTATCCAAAGAACTCTGGTCGAAATTCCACGAACTCGGCACGGAAATGATCATCACCAAAACAGGAAGGTAAGCGGCCAATATTTTTTTTTGCTTGTTTTACTTGTAACAATCGCATACAATTGATNCAAAATCTAATCGGTCAGCACAAATGAAAACAGTATCGTGAAGTCAAACCGATTGCCAGTTTTACTTGTAACAATCGCATACAATTGATTTATATGATCTATACAGTAAATCAGTGTGTTATTTTGATGGGTTACGCAGAANTTGTTTTACTTGTAACAATCGCATACAATTGATTTATATGATCTATACAGTAAATCAGTGTGTTATTTTGATGGGTTACGCAGAAAATTTAAAGAAATTCCGATTTAGTATTTCAACTAAAAAATGAAATGTTTTCTTGATTTGTATTAAACGGCCACGATGGTTTATATTTTCAATTGCTTTTCCAAGACCATGTCTTCTATGCGCAGCCTTCGGATAAGTAATAAATAATCTGAATACGATATGATAAATCCCTTCAAATGCAAACATTTAAAAGCCTGCGCCGTTACAGTACAATTGGTATACGAATAAAAATGTCTAATCGTTTGTACTGAAATTCCATTTTAAAAAATCCATCGATAATCATCGACCCATTGTGCGCATAATTTGGTCCGACGGTCACATATTCGTTTTATCTAGCGTACAATAATTCTATGGCCTTTTGGCGTAATCATTTTGGACTATGAAATCGGTTATCTGATATTGTGATTGTGTATAATTCTCTAGCGCGTGCAGTCCGTACATTGTACGAATGTTTCATAGAAAAATCCATTAAATCGTATATGTCCATCTAGAGGACATGAATAGACAGAGTTCTGCAAAAAATCGTTTTCATTGACTGAAAATAATAAAATATTCACATTAACTATAAACTCGTTGATTATTTTTTAACGCGATTGACGGGGAAGCTTTCAAAGATTTTATCTGTGCATTTAAAAAGATATAATTGTGTCGACTTGATAACTTTGAGGAATGACGCGCCATAATTGTATTACAATCAAACTGCTACTATCAATTATTTATTAATAAACAGTGGGTTCCAACAAATAAGAAAATTATAAACGATAATGTTGTTTAATAAGTTATTAATCAGCCGCTACTAAAAATATTACCCGTTTTAGTTATTGATAAAAACAAAACACGTAAATTATAATTTCTTTTTTTATTTATTTAATTTTAATGTGCCTCCCAGTTAGATTTCAATAAAAAAGTTATTATTGAAATCGATATTTAAAATAGAAAAACTTATGAACGTATTATTTTTATAAAAGAAAAATAAGTTCTCTGAAGATGACATAATTGTTTTGTTTCTTCTTTAATTTTACTGCATATTATATAACTTGGGATAACTAGACAGTTTTTGTGTGTTCTCTGGATTCTATTATTTATAATTTAAACTTATACCAGTGCGTTTAAAATGTTGACATAATGCACCTTGAAAATATTAGTAATGTTCTATATAATTTCATGTATAGTTTTTTGTTATGTACGCGTGATTACCCGATTACGATAATAATATTCATAAAATAAAAATATATATATTTTTTTGTATTTAGAGTCCTTCAGAGTTGGACGATGAAAAGATTAAAAGTAAAAAAAACTCGATAATGTTTTTCCATCATAACAACCAACTCTATTGGCGTACCGCGTAATTTACACGATAGCAATGTAAATGATGACGAGTGCAAACAATAGTATAATTGTTAATAAAAATATATATTTCCAACTAGAAATGTCCAGTGGCGCGTACAGAGAATTGTCGTGGCCGGTTGAGTTCGTGTGCGTACATTTTGTTTGTACAACTTTTCGACCCTGTTGAAAAATAAAAAACAGAATAATTATGCGCGCGTTTGTTTGTGTGCACACGAATGAACACGATGCTCACCGGCGGCATGTATTCGATGAGCAAACGCGATGGTAATAACGGTGTGCGAGCCCGAAGCCAATAATTATTTCGACGATTTTGCGAGCAGATTATTTTACGGAATAAAAAAACGGCGTGCACGCGGTTCAATTACAATTTCGATTATTGATAACAACAATTGGCGGTGTGGAAATCGTTACTGCGGCGACATGGTAATTATCGCGGCCGGATAATGACGTTTTATCGATTCGGTGTACCCGTCCCGAGAAATCCCTACAACGACTCCCCGGGCCAAACACGTGTGTTTTGGTGAGTAGTTTAGAGACGGTGAAATAATATAAGCGACGATTGGCGAAATCGAAGGCGACGTTATTTTGGTGATAGAAAATGAACTGCGACGGCGGCGGCGGCGGCGGGTAACACGAAACCGAGTGACGTCCGAACACGTAGAAATTTGTGTGCGCATCAATTGCTCTGATCATAAAATAACCGGAATCGCTGTGGTAGTGTGCCGTCGAGCCCGTTTTCCCTTTCATCGCACTTGCCTCGTGTGTGTCCCAAAATATCACACGGCGTGTGATTTATGCGTTGCATTGTCACCGGCCGTTTATCTCTGCTAATCTCCATTATCGGTCGAACACGGCCACCACGTTGACGACGTTGCGCGAGTCGGATGGGTTTACGTCGCAGCCCGTAGTTTGGTGCTGTTTTGACGTTTGTTAAAAGGCGTATAACAATGCGACCGGCTATTGTGAACGCCTTTCCTCGGACCGCGTTTGGGTACACATCGTAAAATCATCGGTCCGTCTCTGTCGGTCGTACGCGCAATGCATTGTATACATGCGCGCGTTAACCATACAATGCCAACTGCTGAGGTGTTGTATAGGCACCATAATATTATCGAACGCATCCAACAACGGCGTCGTCATGGGCTGCAGTGATACTACACAAACAAACGGTGGACCTCACACCGAGCGCTGCGAGACGCGCAACCATTTAGGAGTCGCTGTGCAACACACGGACAATACTCGTGTACACAAACGTACACTGTCCGCCCGCGCGCCGTAGTGCTTATAGTGGTAAAAAAACGGTACGCTACGCGTTCGGAGAGACTAACACCGTATTTTGTTTACCGTAATGGCGGGTGCCGTTTAAAGTTCGGTACCGCAGCGCTCGTTTACGAATGGTCGTAAAGACGCTGCTGCAGAAGCAGTGCGGGGGTGAATTTGTCAGTGTTGTAAAAAGTCATGCATAGCACAACGATTGATAAATTACAGTGCCTGCCCTGCTGCTAGCGCTCGTATTCGCGTTTTCCACGGCGATTGTAATGACAACGACCATTATACAAAGTGTACACAAATATTATGACCCTGTGTGTGTGTGTGTGTGGTAATCCCCGGAGACGATGATCTACCGATATCGTATACAATTGCCGTTGTTCCCCTCGACGTTCAACGAAAAGTAAACAACAATGTGTACAATGTAACGAAACATAATACAAACCGTATTATAATGCGCGTTATGTAACACACGATATCACAAATACTGTGCGGAATATAAAGTCTCCGAGTAAATGTAATGAATACGGTAAAAGTATGTGAGAGGGCTGCTGAATTCCCGAGCGCTATGTTTTCTCGTTTTTTTTTTTTTTGGAGGAGAAAAAGACGGATAGAAAAATGGTAATTTATCGTTGGCTAACAATGTTCTGCTGAGAATTTCCCGACTCTCATCTCCATNCTAACAATGTTCTGCTGAGAATTTCCCGACTCTCATCTCCATGAAAACATGTCGGTACAGAGTAAGCGTATACGTACGCGTTCATAAAAAACGAATAAGTTTTTAATGGTAAACGTACGCGATCCATTGTATTTAACCCAACCCCGTCCTGGCTTGAGCACAATTTTGATTTATTTGAAAGTGTTCTTTTTCAAATGTATTTTTTTTTTTAACGCATCGGACGCGTTTTGAAGAGCAATGGGAAACCAATAGTTTTCAAACGACCAAGACATTTGTGTCGCGACCTGTCAAGTGGATGCCACAAAATGATATGAGCGTTGCTCGGCAGTGCGTTCGCACGGTCCGAGTGTCGTCATGATTTAGAAATGGTACAACACCACAACGTCTCGTGGTCGTAACATTCGGATACCGCGAAGCCAACCGAACGACTGCCTATTGCGGCTCTAAAAAACAGTGCTGTCGATTATTATTCTATACTTGTCGCGTTGTTCTCTAACGGGAATCGGTAGGCCGCGAATTTAAGGTTAGGTGTGGTGGTAAACAAACGAAACCGCGGTTAGGGTCTGCTCGTACGGCGCGACGTCGTTTCAAATAAAACAAACGCGTATAATTGCCGTGACGGTTTGCCATATAATTTGTATACAAACGACTGTACAAAGCGCGTGTACCGAAGCCGATGGGATTTTGCGGCAAACGGCAGCGAAAGACTGACACATGTCAAAAGTAATTTCGGTTTGCTATTCAAATATATCGCGCTGTATAACAGGTCCCCTGCGCCCGAACTACACGAATACGGACACACGCGTCCTCCGACCGCTGTTTGTTTAGTCAAATAAAGAGGACAAAACGGGGGACGACACGGGGGTCGTCCCCTAAACACCGTTCGTACGTATTGACGGGCTTGCAACGGAACGGCCGCACAAAACGCGCGGTACAGCTGTACTGCAATGGCCGTTTAATTGTTGATTTCTGTGGCATACATACAAACGACGTGCAACTATTTGTGTGCACACGTTTCGTATGCACTACGACGTCGTATCGCGCGAACCACACCGCTCTTGTATGTAATGCGCGAGTCTCTCGATACGTGTACTCGTCACGGTCCGCCGAAAAAGTACAACTGCGGCTTGTTAGTGGAAAACGGGCACCGGTTGTAAGTGTACACTCGAACAATATACCCGTGTCCGCATTGTGGTGTGCGTATACGAGTGCCGCCGAATTCACAATACTCGGCCCGGCGATAATTGTCGGTAGGCATTTAATTCGACCGGAATATACACCGACCCGACTGACCGTTATCACGCGAGCCATTCAGAAATTACCCATGTATTGTGCGTTGTCCCTTACTCTGAGGGATATGTGGTAAAAATGCCCTCTCGTTTTTACAGTCACTTTTTCCACGGCAAAAGTGACCTTCCAAGTAGCCAGTGTCGACTACGTTTGACTGTTTGATCACTCTGCCCTTGTCCGACGCCGCATAAAATAAGCCCTGGCAGAAATATGCGCAACGCAGTGTAACGGCAGCAATATCGTCGGATCATAGAAATCGCGCGACAAAAGGGATGGCCGTTCGGTTACCGATAATATTATCACCGAGAACGTGTCGCGCTTATTCTCACGGTCGACATAATTACCACAATGGTAGAAAACCGCTGTAATGAATACGTGTACGTAAATCCGCGTAAGCGTATTCATAAAAAAATCCGTAGCCGATTAATTAAATTCTTCATAATACGCTTACCGTATTAAATACACTTGTATGCATTTCAATAAAATTGGGCGTGTTCGTTTTGCGTCGAAAATATATGGGACATACTCAAGTCGGAGCGGTTAACTCGGCTGAACATTTTCAATTTACTCTTATCTCTTTTGTTTTTTTGTAAATAAATTTTCAAAACGACTAAACGCGTTTTCCACGCCAAATGACGACGACACGGCCATAGTACCTCGATAATTAAATCACGCTTCGTCAATCAAAGTAACATTTCGATTAAATTTGCATAGACAGTTTTTCAACTTGTAGAGACGTTGTTTAATTAGAGAACTTCCCACGGGCCAATGAATATTCGATCTTTCGTAGTTACACTTTTTTTACTTCGAATCAAATAAAGAACGCAAATGACGTGTATTGAAAATTCATCGAGATTCCAACTGAATAATTAACTAGGATTTTTTATGAATTCTTAAATGCGACGTTATAATTAGAAACATTACCAAAATTAGGTATACAAATTTATCGAAATTTCAGATTTTTACACATAAAATTAGCATACCACAATCACGCGGTCACACACACTTTTTTCCTAATAAATTGATAGGACAATTCGACGTTGCAGTAACTCAACCACATCAACTATGCCTTCTGGGAGGTTTTTGCGTTTTTTCTTGGTATTTTATTTTTTTACGGGGACTACTGCTGATGAGCCGTTTGCGTGTATGCTTGTGTCTGTGATATTTTGGCGGCGGCCCGGTGACAGCGACCGTTGGTTAACTCCGCCCATTTAACTTCCGGTTATTAAGCCGACTAACCTACCCGACCGGCCCCCCACGTCCCCTTTCGCGAGGTCGGGTCATCATCATTATTATAATCACGTGCACATACACCACTACGCGGTTGTTGGGCATGTGTGTGTGTGTCACTCCGAGACTTGTCTAATGAAAATTAAAAAAAAAACACACAACAACGACGTCGCGTTGAAAGTGCGATAGCGTCACAAATTATACCCGAAAACATTAGAACGTAATTAGCGACCACATTAGCCGTTCCTTTTGTTGTAGTTTTTTTTTTGTTTCCCGGTGCGGGTCGTACATCGTGTGTTAAATTATTCCTCCTGTCCGATGCGAGGTCGATAAAAAAAAAAAGCAAAACGCACCCGAAATTGTTACGCGCAATACGCGATTGTGTTTAAACATGTGGGAAGTACACGGACGCCATTACAAAAACATCTCAAAAAGGTGGTCGTGGAACTTTCAAATTTAGAAAACAATAAAAATATACTGTAAAAATGGCATTCCAACATTGATTTTTAAATTGTAATATGATTTCGAGTGGTGGTATACTTTGGACTTTTGAAAATCAACAAAGTACAAGTCTCTGTGTATAAATTTTCGCGTAATGTTTGCAGTTTATCGGCTGACTAAAATTGGCGACGTTTCGAATTAATCGCAATTATTATCACAACGCCAAAGTTGACACCGGCCCGTTTAATCCGTTGACCGTTAATGTATTCGTGGGATGGTCTAATAATTCTCTGGGATTCGTCGATTTGTTATGATAATATTTTAATCTCGAACGTGCGAAAATCGTTTGGAAAATAACATCAACGGCAGTTTAAGCGCATTGATCAAATTTAATCTAACAGTACCAGGAAACCGTTTCTTAAAACAATGATAAATATAATACCTCGAATGAATTTATTGTCGTGGTATATTCTTAAAAAATTATATAATTTTATCCTTTGTAATAAATCAATGGATTTTTGTCTACTACGTTTTTGAATTTTTAAGACCATATCAATTCCTCTTTTTTTAAACACAAATATTATTATTATAAAGCGTATAGTTTAATAATAGAATTTATATTATTATAAATAAATAAAATAAAATATATCGTTCATTTAAAAACTGAAAAATATCAAATTCAAAACCCACAAAAAATTACTGAAAAGTTGCGGATGCGTATTTCGGAAACAATGTTATCATTAACACATACTGAGTTTAATATTTTTTAGTATTTAAATTAATAATATTTTTAATATAGTTTAAATTATATTCAACTAATTAGCCATAAGTGATTAATTTTTATTATATGTTATTATATTCATTTTTTTTTAAATACCGACCTAAACATAATAATAATAGTAGTAAAAATGTCTACCATGAAGTATCATATTTGTTGTTTTTTTTTTATGAAGATTGGTTGTCTTATGCAGATAGCTATTCAACTAAAATTTAATTAATGTTAATTATAATATTTATTCAGTCTAAAAAAAATGTGGAAATGTTTAACTGCCACACAAACATAATAACAATTTTTACAAAACAAAAAAAAAATTCAACAACAATGTAATAAATATGATGTTTGAATGATATATAAGAAAAATTGACTAAAGCGACATAATAAATAGCATATGTTTGATAAATTAAATCTATTGACAATACTAATAAGTGATAAATAGAAAAATAAAACCACCCGGATGATCTATTAAGAGAAATAATGTTATTTTATTTGAGCGACAAATTAAAACGACCTTTTACAGTAAATGGAAAAAAATATTTCGAAAACGGTTATACGTTTATTGATTGTTTTTATTTGACAGATGATTTTTGAGAAAATCAATACTGAAGTCAATCGAGTAGGTAGTTAAAGCGACGGAATAAAAGATAAGTTCATAAACAAACTGGCAACGTTGCAAATAAGAGTTAACAACGAATTAAACACTTTGTCCCTTTTAATTACACAGCCTTATCACTGCCACGTTTCCAGTTTGCTTAATACAATATGGCGGAACACCAGAGAACGCATCTATTTGAATATTTGTGTGTAAAAGTCTTTGATCTTACAGTTTACGGAGTCTCATTTCCTCGAGCAGTATATCTACTGTATAATACATCTATGACACTTTAAGATTGTTTATCGGGTTATTTGAATTTTTCACTCTAACTAACTACTGATTGATTTCAGTATTCGTTTTTTCAAATATCTGTCTATAGAGTTAAATATAATCAATGAATTTGTTTATAATTTGTTATATAGTTTTCAATTTATCGCTCTAGTGTTGATTGGGAGTGAATATTTTTATCATTAGACATTTCTCGACCAGAACGGTCCACTGTCTTGGGTATGACAATCCTAATAAATTCCGAAATACTTTTGGTTATCGCCAACCATTTTCTTAATTAAAAAATTGTACATAAACTAGAAAATATGTATGTCGCTATTAAAAAAAAATAAAGTGGATATCGTCTATATCAGAGGCCAAGTATTTGACCACTTAATAATCGAGAGATAAATATTACCCAACAAAGCCAAAAAAAATATTTGCAAGATTATTAATGTTATTTTTGAAAAATAAACATGTTGTAAAGTTATTAAAAAATAACATATTTAAACATCATTAGTAATATCTACACAATTTTTATACATTTATTATGTTCACGAGTTGGTAAAATATCATTAATATTTTATAAGTTTAAAAATAAATTAAAGGAGTGCGCTACACAGCGGTTGTCGTCACCATTCCGGTCTGCGCATACACAGAGTACCGTTGGATTTCGATCGAATCGAAAGGGTTGGCGTACGCATATTATGTACATACTGTATGGTGACGGGTACGATAAGGTTGCCATTTTTTACGTGCGCGCTTTAGAATCAAAGTGCTCAAGTAACCTGTACACGAATACAATCGGCGCACATACTTTTGTATAGCCAAAAAGCAACTTACGCAGAACACATCAATAAAAATCTGGACTCGAGTACCGCTAAACTCACTCATTACGATAATTGATTGTGTGAATAACGGTCGTTAAATGTTTTTGTACGATAATCGATAAGCACACCGTCAATGGCTAGTTTTTACAAACCATTCGTTGATAACAATTATCGTTTTTAAATTCGGTTTTGTCTCTGCGCAAACCTTTTCGGTACGACGTGTTCACTCGCTCAAAACTAATAATTAAACTATTACTTGACTAATACTGTCGGCACGACTTGCAACTCAAAGCATTCGTAATTAATTGCCGATATTCTTACACAGTCTCGTACAAGAAATTCGTCTAGTCGAGGTCGCGCCGAGTAATAAAAATCATTTTACGACTGGCATGTAGATTTTTTATTATTATTTTTTTTTCACACGAATAAGNGCGTACACTGGCATGTAGATTTTTTATTATTATTTTTTTTTCACACGAATAAGGTGTACACACAAACATTCGTGTGTTATTAGTACGAATGAACTGCCGATTGTTTGCATCCATTTACAATAGTTAGTTTTTTTTTCGTCCCAGTTTATTTGCGCCGGTTCATGACATCCGGTTACCCAATACCTGTACGTTATTATATAGTCGGGTGTATAATTGCGGACCTGCCGTTATCATATAGAGCTATTGCAATAACCACTGACTGAACAAGAATGATGCGCGCGCTCCATTGAGTTACAATAGTTAGATATTAGGAACACAGCGTAAAAAATGTCGACTTAACACTTTACGCGAGCAGAACTAGGTGTACGGCGCCGTTGTACAATGAGGTTTTCCTTCGTCCGAACGGTGTAGATGTGCAGAACTGTTTGGAGAAGGCACGTCGTAGGTTTAGCCGGAGGCGCAAAAAAAATGATTTTGTTAGTTTTCCTTTTTGAACAAGGCGTGCTAAGTGAGAACGTAAATAAAACTATTCCGGCGAGTGCAGTTACGGTTCTATTTTCGGAACACTGTGTTTATAACGGGGAGCTCGGAAACGCCTCTAAAATTATGTTATCTGTAATCGCTGGGTCGACGCGAAAAAGGGGAAGACGCCGGGTTGTCGTTGTCGCTGTTATGTTGTAATGGGTGGGCCGGGCTGCGAGTACTTTATTAACATGTACGGGGGGCAACTGGAGTGCGAAAATCTCTATCTAGACTCGCATCCGGCCGAAAACGACCGCGAGAAGATGACGAAGAGGGGAGGGTTGGAAAGAGTGAAACGAGGAGAAGTGCCGAGAAATGAGACTACTGCGCTCTATCGTCGCGCCTGTCTGGGGTCCGTTCTGCTGCACAGTAATATCTATAACAACACATAGTCCCATAGAATACGCGTACTAGCTTTGAACACCTCACTGTTGGGTAGAAAACCGGATAAATAATTTCTGTTTTAAAATCTCACGGTATTTCCAGTTGCAGTACTCGAAATTACCGTAGTGTTGAGCGTATAAAATTTCTATTTAAAAAAGACGGTTATTGAAGTCGAAAAACGTTGGTGTTGATTTTGCGGGTTTCGGCCGTACAATGTTGTTATTGAAATCTCGAACATTACAAGCTCTTAATTGTGTACGGTTCACACGGACATGTCTATAAATAGAGTTGGTCGTACGAATATACATACACACGTGTGCGTTGTTAATAAGGTGGTAGAACGACAAACCGTTGTACTTGTGCGGTAGTGTTGCCGATCAGAACAGAATCGTATTGTCATTAAGGCGACAGCGGACTGCCTATGCTTCTGGAGAAGAGGGCGTGGTCTGAACTGGTGCTGACGGCCCCGGCAAAGGGGTTCGGAGTGCAGAAAGGGAGGCGGTGGCAGCGATCGATGGCAGAGTAGGCTGCGTGTTGTGTGCCAGTGTTTACTTAATGTGAATATAATATTAAATAAACACACACACACCAATGTGTTTCCAATGAACATGTACACGTATATTACAACACATATATTTAGCTGCATAGGAGGGTGTCTAATATGGAGGCACTGTGAATTCAATTGTGATTATTATTCAAAATAAGGGCTTGTGTAAAGTTATACATTTTTATATTCCAGTTGACATTTTATCGCTTACTCGTTGAATTTAAGAGATGGGCACAGTCGATGCAAAGACTAATTACTTTTATCCGACTGGTGTTTCGATTTGTTTTCCCTTGAAAAAAATCACCAGTTTAACTCAAAATTAACTTGCGTAGGTTTTGTACGGGGGACGTAATACAGAAAATTGTTAACACATCAACGATAAAAAAAATTCTCTCCGTACATCTCTCTCTGTGTAATGATTAATTTTATGACGTGTAAACTCTCTACTCGTGCGGAGACAACCCGCTGACGATAATCGATTAACGCAGTTGCCGCTGCCGTAAAACCGCGTGTATCCTTTACACGCCTCGTCAATAATAATAAATAAATAATGGAATAAATAAAAAAAGAAAACAAATCGAAGTGCCCCTTGTCTCCGTAACGATAATACTGAGTGTGTTGTTTCGGTCAGCACCGGATGCATAAAGAAGAGACGCCGTTAAAATATTATAATCGTCATCGTCGAACGTATGTCGCTTGTAAGAGACTATAAAAATAAATAAAAAATTACCCGACTTCGCCTTGGTCTATTCGCCTACCGAAAAAATGTACGAAGTAGGTTTTTTAACGCTGTCAATAACGAAAACAACATCGCGGTTCTAGCAGCCGGTTGACGCGCGCGCGGTAATAGTAATTTCGTAATTATCCGTTGAAGTCGTTATTTATTTTATTTCATTTCACGTGCACGTTATTAATATACGACGACAAGACACGCGGTTTCGTATCGCCAGTTTGATTATAATTTTTTATGAAAATACACTTTGCTCGTTACAAATACTCGCTATCGTCTCGATTGTTGTTATTAACGTTGTTTATTTACGACTTCCCGTTTTGTGAAGACGCGCCGGACTCATCGAGAACGCAATCGGCGTTATTACTTTGCTGTTACTGCCGTTGGAGTTTTTTGTTTATCGTTTATGCGACATTTCGGACTATACAATATTCAGTGGATTCACAAAAGGTCAATTGTTCACTCGGTGTCCGTTTTGCAACGACCAAACCTTTTACAAATATTGTCACCCGGTAAATTGTTTAACCAACGCTTCATTACAACGACCTTTGAGACGGTTGTGAACTTGATGTTACTTCACGCGGATTCCAACTCGGTCGCGTCTCGTCGGAAAAGCCATAACGTCCGGATTACCGGAAANGCAAAAGGTCAATTGTTCACTCGGCGGTGTCCGTTTTGCAACGACCAAACCTTTTACAAATATTGTCACCCGGTAAATTGTTTAACCAACGATTCATTACAACGACCTTTGAGACCGTTGTGAACTTGATGTTACTTCACGCGGATTCCAACTCGGTCGCGTCTCGTCGGAAAAGCCATAACGTCCGGATTACCGGAAAACCGTTGACGGATCGATTTAGATTTCCATCTGACGGTTGACGATTGAAAACGGTCGTGGCATTCGACAACCGGAGATTTCCACTCTCGAGCTGAGATTGTACCAGACTGTGGTGTTTGACGCAAAGCGCCCTAAATCCATTCGCCTAAATTACATCCGAATGGCTCCTACGGACAAATGTGTTTCGTGTTGTTCGACCCATTTTATTTTATAGCACATCTTGTACTTCACTAGAGTTTATTAAACCCTAGCAAATGTAACGACGGCAGACAAGTTGAAAATCGAGAGACCGCTAATTTTTTCGTCGTCGTAAATTAAATCGTTTATACGAATGGTAAACACATAAAGTATAATGACGATGATGACCATGTTGATAATAACGCTTATATGCGCGCACACTATTTAAGTAATAAATAAATAATTGTTAGCTCGTGTGTGTGTGTGTCATGCGAGACCCAGAAGGCGGAGGACGGAAAGGTAGACGCGTCCAGAGAAGAACTGTCCTAGCGCAGCATGAGGTCTTGGAAGGCTTGTACGACACAGTTGGCCTGCCATCGGCAAACAGTGAACAGAAATGTCAACCGATTTTTTTCAGAAATTCCAACTCGACCGATCCGTCAGACGTTTTTTGTCCATGTCGCGAGACAGACCGCTGTTTTACCGCTGGGAACGGTCCCGTTCGGTCGAGTCACACTCGGTATGTTTATATTGTGTTATAAACTATAAATGATATGACAATGTCGACCTTTGGGTCGTCGTTGCGCTCCACCTACAATACAATAGTTTTTGCAGAGTGCAATCGTCTCAAGCCTTTCCGAATCGACCTGACCATAACAATCCCCGAAGAGACGGCCAGTTTGGTTTGCATCATTTGCAAAGAACATTAATACTAATTAAACGTGTATGAACTACTGTGTCAACTACTGTGAGTGAATCGCCGAAACGAATATTGGTCAGTCGCCCGAATCAGATAAAACGATTTTAGTTAATTTACGTTTAATTAGTTTCTAATGAAATTCACGTGAACGCGCGCGCATTAGTATTGTTTACGGTATTTTTTTTTTCACGACATGCAATTAAAAAAAAAGGATTAATTTTCTCATTTTTATAGCGTGCGAAATTATCGCGATTTTTCAGTTTACAAATGCAATAATCGTACACGTTTAACTATTGCCGTCGCCAAGTTGGGGCGACAAAAAGTAAGCACAGTAAAATATTGTGTGCACGTTATTATCAAACCGCATGACCCTTGTGTTGTTTTTAGTTAATTAAAACTATAACGAACTATAAAACGTTGCTCGTAAGTCGGCCGCATTCGACGTACACCCATAATAACGAATTAATTAAAAAAATAAATTACACGTCCAATGGCGTGCAAGTGTGTACATGACTTGGGCGTGTACCGTTGCGGATTCACTGGCAAGTCATCATCCGAGACACTGCGCTTTGTAGAGCCGTCGACTTGTTGGGGTGCCATTAAATTAGTCTTTTTTTATACGTATAATTCAATCGAATAGAGTTCAACAGGCAGTTAACAATTTCTAAATCAATCGAGCTGTGAACAATGAACAAATTTTAAATGTATCGAAATCGAGTAATTTGCATACATAAATGCTAATTTGAAATGTTAGTGCGTAACTATAGTACCGTGTATTTTTAGTAATTATTTTCGGACAATTTGGAAAAAAAAAACCGCATTCGGCATATTTATGTGTCGGTTGTCGTTTTGCTGGTCTACTCGTTAGTAGCGTATTTATTTTCAAATATTTACCATATTATTGGTCGCGTGTAACTTTTCTACCATTAAATCATTACATAATAATTTATGCAAATATTACTCCATTCGTTTGCCCTTGACGCAAAATTCAATGCGGCCTTATAACGCAAGAGTTATTTATCACATACTTAATACAATTTAATTTAAGAAAAACGTTTTTTTTCTCTTAAATTAAATTGTATTTATCGCGTAGAAAATATTTCTCGTGTTTGCTTACTCGTTCGGTTATACATTTTCGTTGGAACTAGAGGGACGGTAGCTGTTTAAAACCTTGAGACAACAGCTACGCTTTTTTACGATACGATCTACTGTTGTGAAAATAATTACTTGGGTCAACAAGTGACTTCTAAAATAAATAAAACAACATTTAATTCATTAAAAAAAAAAAATGTCGACATTGCGAAATCTTAGATTTTAACGAGCTTCCAACACAGACCGGTCGACAACCGGTTTGGGGTGACAGTATTTATCGAGTTACTCTTTACCCCATTACGTTTTACATTGGATTACCACCAATAGCGAACGACTATGTGATGGCAGCCCAACGGAAAAATGAATACGGTTTACGATAGCAACTCGTGGCACCGATTACAAGTGCGGAAAGTAGAACTTTTTTAGCAAACTCGAGCCGCCTATCGCCAATCGCTTTAACCGAACTGTTTGGCCGTACATTGAATTGTTAGTTATTCAACGCTGTTGAATAACATTTTCTCGCAGGGCACGAAAATGAGGTTACAATATTTTAAACGAAAGATGTTGCGATAATAAAAAAAAAAAAAATGACTAAAATTATGCAATTTCAATAAACCTAGACGTTTTAATATTAAATGTTTAACTCAATTACACGACGACGTTACAGTAGACATTTAAACGAATGACTTAATTTCTGAACCTGACTTCCGATAATCTATAACAGATACGGTGGTTATTTACATATTAAAAGTCGTTTTTAACTGACATTTTTTTTTTGTTTTTTTTTTCAGGCGAATGTTCCCCACGCTGCGGGTGTGCTTCCGGAAGTTGGACCCCAATCAAAAGTACGCCGTGCTGATAGACATCGTGCCGGTGGACAATAAGCGGTACCGGTACGCGTATCACAAGTCTTCTTGGTTGGTGGCCGGCAAAGCGGACCCGCCGGCACCGCACAGGCTGTACACACATCCCGACTCGCCGTTTACCGGAGATCAGCTGCACAAGACGTTCGTGTCGTTCGAAAAGGTCAAGCTGACCAACAACGAGATGGACATTAGCGGCCAAGTGAGTGGTTATTTTGTGACGTCATAAAAATGTATTTATTAACGATAATTGCGACACGTGTAATTAAATTGTGCGTACCTCGTCTTGTATGGCGAGCGCAGCTGCATTTGTAGGGTGCCACGTAAAAACAATAACGGTTACAATAAAAATAAAACAACAGTTCTTCGCCGTGCCCCAAATCGTAAACGGTCATGTGAAAAGAAAGTGCCGCCGCGGTCGTATTAGCCTAATCCAACAGGTAATCTCGTGTGATTATACACGTTTACCTAACGACTAATTCGAAACATGTGTGCGCATTTTATTACATACGCCTTCTTACCCAATGGAACTTTTTCAACCGGTTGTTATTAAACGCGTATGTTTTTTACGCGTTGCCCAGTCGTGTTTAACGCGGTGAATTATTATCTGCATTGTACCGAAAACCGCACGAAAAAATGTCACTTTCGTGTCAGTTTGCCAAACGTTGACGCTGGGCTTCGTCAAATTACTTGACTTTTTTACATCCCAAACCTTTTTTTACCGTGTTTGTCATCGCCCGACCGACGTCACCTCGGTGGTACGTCAGCGTAGTAATACAATACACCCGGCAAGTGTACGCGGCCTGCAATTGTACACCGTCGATTGTACGCATTTAGTGTTTGCTATTATGTATAAATACACACACTTCAAAAAAACGGCGGTCGGATGTGAAGGCAACGCGAAGATGACAGACAAGTTCTACCGACTCTAAAGTTCGTTCGGCACCGTTTTGTCACCCGACACACATCGCATGTGTGTTTGTCTTCGCCCGTAGCATGAAAAAATTTCAATACCGACGAACGACGTCATCGCCGTCGGATATTGCGAATGACTAAGAGATGTTGATTAACAGAATTTTATTTCTCTTTACGCTGTAGTACGAGCTCACATCGGTGTTTTCGTATTTGATCGGGTCAGGTGGGGTGGTCAGGCGATCGCGAGACGTTGGACGGACCGCAAAAGCGCACTAAAGCGAAGGGTTTAGCTGTAAACGATTACGTTAATTAAAAAAAAAATACCGGTGGAAAGTACTTTTTTTTATCTCCTCGATGGCTATCGGGATTACGGTCTCTCGTTTGTAACGTAATTATGAACAACAGCTAAACTGTCTGTTTTTCACTGTCGGCAATATCCTGTTGTCTACGACACGACACTATACGGTGGCCGTGTTAAAGGTGTTAACCGCGTTATTATTATTACACCGAGCTAGGTAATGATCTGCAGGTTTCCTTCTTCTCTCCTTCGGCCGATACCTTCGCGAACGTCCCTCTCACAAATGTGTGTTATTATTTAATAATTTTTAAGGCCTCGTCCGACCGATCGGATTACACTGGTTCTTTTTTGTTTTCGACACATGAAACGTCGGTTATGACATGTTTTTCGAGGCTTCTCGAAAAAATTATAAGAGCATTAAAAATATTACTGGCTGCCAAACGACGAAACCCAACCGAATTATCGATGTTGGTTTATACAGACGTACGAACGTTTTCAAAAAACGTTCTTCTCATTTATTGTATTTTCTACGATTGTTATTGCCCAGAATCTCTTACACACACACACACACACAACACACATGCTGCTTGTTGTTCGCAGTGACAGTGGGCTCTTTATGGCAGCACCTGATCGTCGGACACAAGGCGCGCGGTTTACATGTACGTATATAAACGTCTTTTGTCATGTTAATTGGCCGAGAATCGTTATGGCCGAAATATTTGTGTAGTGTGAAAGCTGTTGTCGTACGACGCCCATTATGAACGAGTATGCGTGTACCGTCTGTACGCTATTTATTATCCGACTACGCTTTGTGTGTGTACACATAATTTTATTATAATAATTCGTGTTTTTTTATTAAAACATAAATATCAAAGTAACCGTGTGTGTGGACTGCTACGGCACTAGGATTTTGACCACCTCACAGCTTCCCCCGCCTCCCCGTCATCGCGGTTTTACTGTAATAAAACGCCAGCACCTATTCGTTGTTGTTATTATTATTATTATCGTCGTCATCATCGTCCCAACGTGGTCAACAACAGCTCCGGCGCACGCCCGTCTTGGAATGCTGCTTTGCCCCCCTGTGGTTGCCGGACACTCGGGTCTTCGGACCAGCAGCAACATTATGTGACGTTCAACAAATTTACTCGTGAACTGTTTGATTGTTATTGTGTTATAATTATCGTAATGCGGTAGAAAAGTAGTAGTTTTTCGTTGTCCGAGAAAAGCCAACGAAACCTTTCAAAACAACTTGCAAATGCATCCACTCCGTTTTCGTCAGTTTCTCGGGCAACCTTCCTGTTGAAAATAAACAAAATCAACCGTATTAGAAACTTAAGTAAGTCGAAATAACCACAAGACAATGAAACACGTTCCGTCTAGTCTGTTTACGTGAAAAAAATGACTCCTTAGGAAACCAATAATGTAAATTTATGTATAGTTTTGTGAAGATAACCTTAAATTTTGACGAACTTAAAAATTATTTTTATAACATAAACTCATATAATTGATTTCTATGTGTTTTGGATTATATTAATATCGTTTTCGTTGATTAGTCCCAAAAACAAACGATTCTGTGTAGTTGACATATATGTATAGTGAATAACCTTAGAGCTTGATGTATTTAATTAAAATTTGATCCGGTGGCGCGTTTGTCACGACGTTTAGAGAAACGATTGCTACGCCGTAAAAAATTGTGTGCACATGGTGTTTTTTTTTGTTGACGTTTATATTTTAATCGCCTAAACCGAACGGGGTATCGAACGTTGCGTCCAGGTATAGTTTTAGTTTTACGACCGGGTTCGGGAAAAAAATTCGCAACCAGCAGAACGGGTCGAAAGAAAGGTAGGAGAACGGTGTGTTACCACATCACGTTGTTCGGTTGCCGTTCCCGTCGTTAGAAACAGTGTCGGTGTAGTGTAAAAAACAAGTCGAATTGTAGTCGAGTCGACAGAGAGGTCGTTGTAATTATTATCATCGCTGGGGCGCGGAAACCACCTTTTGTTCGACACCTGATAATTAGAAGGCGGGGGCGTAAGTGCGGGCACAAGGAAATCGTTATGATACCGGTGACAATTGACTGTCGTACCCGCGCTCGTTCCTATTGAAACCTTATAACGCACGTTTTGGTGAGCCTTAATTATTCTTCACTCTACTTAACGCCTGTGTAATCGTTAAGTATGCGGTGACCATCCGTTTACCTCGTTGCTCCGGCAAAACAGTTTTTTTTCTCGGACCTTAAACACTCTGTTACAAGTAACAGAGTTGTATTATAGTAAAAATTCCATGTGCCAACCATTCTATGCAGCACTTTTGGTACCAACTGCGATTGCTGTAGTACACTGAAAAAATAACGCGGCCGACAATTTTTTTATGACGATCACATTATTGTTACTCGAACAAATCAAATTTGTTTGGTTGATAAATGTTTTATTGTACTGACGAAAATGTTCGTTCAACCAACAAAAAATTATTTTGCCGGTCGTGTAATAACAGTAAATTTGTCCATTTTACTAAGGTTTTTTTTTTGTCAGTGTAGGCCACCTGTTCGTGTGTGGCATGCAACTTAACCGCAATCAAATATGAATACAAATATTGCCATTTTTAACAATCGCATAGTAAGTAACTGTTATTCTTTTGTCTTTCAGATCATATTGAACTCTATGCACCGGTATCAGCCCAGGATACACTTAGTCAAGTGGCGTGGAATGGTTACCGACCTGGACGCGGAAAAGTACCGGTCTTTCGTGTTCCCAGAGACGGTGTTCACTGCCGTGACGGCTTATCAAAATCAACTGGTGAGTACTTTATGCCTAATACCGTGTAGAATGTTGGGCGCATTGCTACTGGCCCGTTTAGTGTCTACGTTAACGCGGTAAATTAAAAAAACACGCGCGTTTGCGTAACGTACTCGTTGACGTGTCGGGCAATCTTATCGACGGCAACAGTTCCACACGACATACAGTAATAACAATAAAACATTAGCCGTGTTTGAGGATCCGTAAGCGGACGGTGTGAAGCAGAATCGAGAGACAGCGTGAAGACACAGTGCACCCGTTGTAGTGGTGTTACCCGGTCGTAAAGTACTGCTCAGTAAGAGAGAGAGAGAGAGATAGATAGAGAGACGAACAAATCACCGGTGGCTACCGACCGATGATCACTGATTACTAATCAGGTGCGCGCAAGAAAGAGAAGAGCTATAAAAATGATGGCCTCCCTCGAATTCGAGAAAAAAACATGACCGAGCTGGTGTGAGATGCGTGTTTTACATGCGACGTCGACGGATTTCGTGTATACATAACAAGCTTGTCTTGAAGGTTAGGTTGGGTTATTTGATATTTCCAAGAAGTGATCGGTAAAATCCGATGTGTCTTTACATCTCGTGTGTTCGCTCTCGTCGGGAAACGGTATGCCTTTTTGTGCATCGCGACACGCCTATTTTAAGTACCAGTTGACATTTACTCTCGGAGATGCGCGAAAAAAACTTTAAGGTTTTTTTGATACTAAAGAGGTTTTGTTTTTTATTTATAGATAACCAAGTTGAAAATCGACAGCAACCCGTTCGCAAAAGGATTTCGTGACTCTAGTCGACTGGGCGAGTTGGAAAGGTAATTTATTTTCACTCTTTAGTCGTGTCATGACCAAAATCGTGGTATCCGTTGCTGTTTTTTCGCCGGCTGTTGATTTTACATACTAAACAGTCTCTCTGTGCTCAACACAATTGAAAAAAAGAAAAAGGTTTAACTTTATATTAGATCTGTTTTTATTTTGCCGAGCTCTTGCGGTTAACGCGTAATCGTTTTGGCCGTTGCAAAGTGACCGGCTATTTTTTATTTGAGCTTTCGGCCGGCACCTCCCGCGCCAACACCATTACCGTCCCCGCGTAGGGTTCCGTGGAAATTGCTGCGGCTATAACATTATAACGCGTCGTAAAAAAAAGAACGAGTGAGCTTAACAACGATAAATATACCCGTGTGCGCTTGTGTACGACATGCACACCAGTGTACATAAATATACGGCAAAAGTGGCCGCTACGAGTAACGTGCACGCCCGCCCCTAAACCTATCATTTTGACACGTTGTTGGGGAAAATTTACACACTACCGAGCGAGCGGTGCAGTCGAAATTACAGGGCCCGACCGCCAATGAGTTTCACACGCGATATCCTATGAACTCGCCATGTCCACCCCCTCCCACTGTCCGTAGTGGTCGTCGAAACGTGTTGCCTTTTACCCTATCGCTTTTTGTTACCTTGGGATATGTTTTCGTAGGTACGCCGGTCACAATGTTTTGCAAGTACAATGCACATAACAATATTATGTACCCATTGTACGAGCACAATGTGTATTGTATGAAAATATTATTATTTTATATTGATGTTTTTCATTATTTTTTTATTTTTATTACACCGGTTGTTAACTGCCGTTAGTCCGTTTATTCGTAACGTCATTATCGACCCAGGCGTGTGTACGACGAATGCCGACCACATTGCGTGCTAAGCTTTTGGTTATCGTGTGGCATTTCTACGCTTATTTGTCGTAAAATGATAAAGGTACTACAATGTGCTAGTTTTCCCAGTTGATTATATTGTTGTTATTGTATTATTTTATTGAAACGCCGTAATTATGTGTAAAACAAGTGTGCAATGACCGCAATAGCAGAAATTTAATCGATGGCTCGCACATTGTTACTATTTTTTAGCTATTTTAAATTATAGAAATAATCGTTTTGGACACAAATGGTATTTGTCATACGAGTAGGTTGAGGTTAGCGTCTACTACAAATAAAAGCAATAACTAAAAAACCAAGTTATAGAGAATGCATATTTTATGACTGTGATATTCTTATGTTTTGTTTTTATCAGAAAAGCACTTTAATAATCAATTCTTATACATAATGCGCAACACTCTACGACCTTTCAATAATTTCAACTGCTAATACAAATACATAAATTGACTTAGTAATTAATCTTTTTAACTCCATTTCATACATTGGCATCGAGGCTTATTATTAGCAGTGTTTCAATTTTTCCTACTTGAAGAATACTTTTGTTAGTTTTTCAATATAATTTCCATCAGTCAATGACATTAATTTTATGTATTAATCAGTAGCTCAAGTAACGCGTTTTTAGGTACGAGTTTTTCCATTAAAGATGATGGGTGGAAAAAAATACTTAAAAATTCACTTTTAAATTCGTCTTGATTAAATATTACAGAGTTATGAAACGGTATTCGGTGATCGGAGTTGGGTTAGAGTAATGTTGTTGATCGCCATAATTTATCTAATATGTTTTTTTTTTGAATGAACGATCGAGACGGCGATTGAGAAACGACGACCGGTAAAAAATCATTATTCATCATCCTCAATGGTCTTCTGCTCGTCCGTACGATCACTGTCGGATTACGAAGAGAACGGGGAGGTAAACACTCCCCGGCCGTCGTAATCAACAACCGAATAAGAGTGTATCGTATGAGAACACTGGAAATAGTTGTATAATCGTCTTTGGTAATTTACATATTGATCTTTGGTAAAACAGATTTGCTAAAACTACTCTCGTCCGGAACATTAATCTAACAACCAAGTTTCCTCTGGTCCGTTTCCGATCGTTTATGTGCAGAGTACCACGTGTGTGTATTTCTGTAAATAAACAAACACTTCTTGTTCTGGACTCGATCGTTGACCGGCAAATTACACCGTAGACCTTAAAACGGCTGTAAGCTTAGCCGAGTGTATGAATGAAGTGTGCGCTGTGTGCAATTTCATCGTAATAACTAATGTAAACTGTTTAGTATTGTGAAATTTGACGAGCGGCAGCCGGCCGAGTGTACGTCTCCAATTCGTTTCGCACTGGAATCGGTCACGCGAAACGCGACAGATTTTTTATTTTTATAAATACACAACACCAGCGAAATAATAATATTAACGACCGTCGGTTGTTGCGGTGCACAATTTTTCCGCATCCTCTGCCGTGAATAATTTTCGCGCGGGCTCCGAACGCGTTCGGGTAAAGTAACCTATTTGCGATTAACAGCATATTTTGTTAACGCGCAGAGTGTACATTAGAATATTACAACGATTTATGTGATACGCACAATAATCTTGGACGCGCTGGTCAGCCGTATCGATGTCGACGACGGCGGCGGCGGCATAAAAAATTCTAATGATACGGTGTGTAATTACGCTCATAATATTACCATTGTACACTTTGAAAAATCGCCGCCACCGCCTCCGGCTGTGCGTTAATAGTTTAATCGCAAGCGTTTCTGATATCACGTGTGTAATTATCGGTATTATACGTTCCCGTACAAACGGCTGCGTTGCTCTACACGTTTCGTGGTTAAATTATTGTTTTTTAAATGCGCCGACTCGAACCGTTTGAGCGGCAAAGTAATATTTTGATGGCATAATATTATGTTGTTATAAAAGCGGGTGATTTCGTGCGCGAGAGATAAAAAGCGACTCTTCCGGGGGGGATACTCCACACTTGGCCGCCGCCCAGTAACTAGACGTATCGGTTTGTAATTATTATTAATATAATTTCTTCTTTCAAAACATCAACCGCCGCCGCCGCCGCTGTTATTATTATTATTGTCTTTAACACGTTCTCGTAAATTATAGGCCAGAAAAATAATAACGTCTTCGCACCTTTCCACACACACACACAGGATAAGTATTAACAACAAACAGGTACATAATATATACACACACACCGATGTAATACTTAGGCTCCTCCGGGGCCACCGAACAATCCTTCGTCGGTTCACGATGAAATAAAAAACGCGTTAATGGATCCCGTGACCGGTTTGGTTACATAAAAACCCGCGCGGCAGTGTGCGCGCGTTCGATTAACACTTCAAAGTCCGTACGGCGAATAGAACCGTTTAGATACGACAAGACGCGCGTTTTCAGGTGTTTAAAGTTCCCATTTCGAACACATTGTAATTGTGTTTTGCGCGTCTATCGCCAGTATACAAATGGTGTATCGTAAAACAAAATAATTGACACACGAGACTCTAAACGTTAGCCGGTCGAATGTTTTTTGCACTCTAAGCTTGACATAATCCTCTTATGGATAACAAATGACGACCGGGGCGTGTATTGTCGAATTCGTTACTGGGCGTCAGTTCGCGAAATCCGAGTACGTCTCAAAAATAAAATCCTTTTCAATTGCACAGTGTCAATCGCGTTATATCCGTTGTATCGAAAAAACGAAGGTTTCTTATCGCTCGATAGTAATACCGCTGGTATTGCAGCTTATTATCTGCTGCAAGTACGACGACGCTTCATGTGCGTTCCGGCAATGGACTTCCGGGCGGATATTGCGGACGTGCACATCAACGACATAACATAACACTGTGACGTGCGAGGACGTTATAGTACGAGTGTACATTATGCCCAGTAATACAATATTTATCATGCAATAAATATAACTTGATTAAAATCGATCGTGTATGGGGTTAAGTTGACGGCGTTGTGATGACGAGAGTCCTTGTGCTCCGCCGTCTCGGGATCGATTATTATACGTTTTCAAAACTTGTTGCGCTATTTCTACAAACTGCTTTTTATGAACCAAAACAGTAATAAAAGATAATTGTCGAGCCATAAAAATACAATGGGTTGAATGTTATACATATAAAAGTAAATAAATTGGTCCAGTCACAAAACAAGCAACGGATATCATTTGATCAGGTCTATTTTAAGCTGTAATGGGTTATTCTATTGCGGATCGTGTCAGACCGCTTAATTATATTTTATAACTAATTTTTATACAATAATTTTTTTATTTAACAGAGACCCTGTTGACCTCATGTTCTTAGAACATCAATACAATCAACATCTCTTGAACCGGGCGGCAACTCNTTAATTATATTTTATAACTAATTTTTATACAATTATTTTTTATTTAACAGAGACCCTGTTGACCTCATGTTCTTAGAACATCAATACAATCAACATCTCTTGAACCGGGCGGCAACTCCGATGTTTTGGTCTCCGCAAGACGGGGGTGGTCTATCCGGACAATCGGTTATGGACCACGACGGTGGCGGCGGAGCTGCTAACGGTAACAGTTCATCGACACCGTCAGGCTTTATGCTGGCTGCCGCGGCCGCCGCCCGAGCTCAATTCCATATGTTGAATAACGCTGCAAACAGGGCGGCCGCTGTGGCTGCGGCCGCCGCAGTTTCTGGTGGATGCGACAACGGCAATGCTTCCGGAAATTACTCGCAACAGCAGCAGCAGCAACAACACCATCACCAACAGCAACAGCAGCAACAGCAGCAACTCGTCTTGTACGGTAGCTCACATCACTTTCAGCAAACGCAGGCTCGTTTCGCGGCCGCTGCCGCAGCTGCCGCCGCCGCCGTCGGATATCATCACCATCACCCGGGTCACGGAGGTCCACCGCCACCACAACCGTCTGTGTTCTCTTGGCCGCCGCCGCCGCAGTATCCCAGGTACGTGACGGCTTCTCCAGCTTTCCAGCCTCCTTCTTCTGTTGCCGGAGCCGTGCACCCATCGCATCATCACCAGCACGTCGTACTGCAGCACTCTCATCCACTTCACGCCACGTCTGTCATTGGCCGATACAGTCCTCCATCGGCGGCCGCACCTCCGTCGCCCGGTGCCACCAGTTCTTCGGCCGAATCGTTGCCGTCGCCCGACGTGGACGGCCGAACGGCCAGCAAGTACGGCAGACGGCAAACTCTGGTGGCGGACGACGCGTAAGCTGACAAATCACAAAATCAACGTCGTGTTCCTCGTGTGTTTACTACTCACTTTCCTCGGGCTCAATGTCACCACCTCACAACAGCAGAATTTGGCACGAAACTGTAGACAATTATTATTGTACGTTGTGCGCATCCGGGTAGAGGTATCTCAATGTGTTATTTGTTTTTGTTTTTTACTCGCCGGAAATCTAGTCTAACGTAGGTTAAACATATGTTTTTTATTGTATTCCGTAATCATTGCAATATAGATCTTATTGTTTTAAGTTTTCAGTTGTAAGTTATCGCATCTCATTATTTTTATTGTAATCTATTTTATACTGTTGTGTTGTAGGAAAGTCCCCTCCTTTTTCTTTTCTGGCTAAGTTGACGAGAATGTTGCAGTCAAAATGGCATTTGTGTCTAGTGCATATGCGACACGGTTATCGTATCGGTCAAGACGGTCTTGTGTGCCTTCCAAGTTCGTGTACAAATGGTCAATGTAGTCGAAGCTCAGTGCAATATAATTAAACCCTTAGTGTATCGTTTCGAATCATATCATCCGAACATTCAAAATCGGTGTATCGTCACGAGCGCGGATACAATTGGACGCCAGAGAAATATTCCCACGGCGAACACGTCATTTTTCGATTTAGCACCACCCGCCCCCCTCTCGTCGATTGCCAGACACATTCCTACAGTTTTCATAATGTCCTCTTATTTTTGCTAACCCTTTCGACAGTTGGCGACTACAATCGTGTCTTACTTGTGCTAAATGTCGATTCAATACCGTTTTGACATCGACTTCGTCCGGTTGATATATTTGTCGGCAACTAGTAAAAATCACATTTGATGATATTCTCGTGGCGTTTTGACCTCGTCAACTTATTGCGATCCTTACGAAGCATGTTTTCTCGCCCAGTTACCAAGTACATGTAAATATTTATACGTACATGTATATATTTATATAAATATATTTATAAATAATGTTATTAGTTTTATTATTATTGATTGTTAGTTTTTTTTTGTACAGAAGTTATTTCAGCGAGAAAACGGCTTTGATAAAAACCTCCAATTCAAATAATTAATAATATATTATTTGACAACAATGACTACTTAAAATAAGAATGAACAAGTAGATGTAAGTGTAAAAGCATAGTTTAGGTTCAAAATGTAATTTTAATGAAAGACCTAATCTAAGTACCAAAGATGAAATTCGTTTTATTTATTTGAATATTGTCAAATACTATTTGACAAATACAAATATCATCGCGTCTCCGAATGTGTAAAAAATGTTTGTAAATAAAAGTTAGATAATTAACGTTCTCCTTTTCCTTATGTATTTTTACTATTAATTATTAATAGACATAATCGCTATAAGGTTTTCTCTGTCTCCTTCCCGTAGAATATTACAATATTATACTGCATAAATTATTATAATTATTTATTGTTTTGTCATTTCCTCATTTCGTGTGATGTATATTTTAATATTATTATTATTATTATTGTATGTTTTAATCGAGTGTTATATATTATGATCATTAATACTATTATTATATTATAATGCGCAACGTCAAATGCGTTTAGTGTATAGACAAAAATAAATAAAAACTAATTTGAAAATTTACGATTTTAAACGTCTTTTTTTTTATTTATCAGAAAAATAGTGATAGATTATTTATCTCCCCATCAATTTAAAAAGTCTACAGCAATGAAAATGAACAATAAATATTATTATTTTATGAGTATTAGTTAAAACAGCTTAAAAATATATCGAACATCTGAAAATTGCTTAAAAACAATTTGTACACAAACAAAAATTATGTAAATTTTATTTTTTTTAAGCACTTTTGATGGACCAGGTGTATTGGAAGATTTTAAATAAAAATAGTTAACATGATCATTAAAAAATGGTTAGCTAATTCATTTGATAATATTTCATTTTTATTGAGTTAAATGATACTTAATATTGTACTTCTTTTAAAAGAAAGCTACAAAAATTAAGATTTCTTTATAATTTATTCGAATATTTCGAAAAGTTTTTTTTTATAGAGGTCATGATTCATTAATTACTGACATTCAGTATATTATAAGCGTTTTATGTAATTGTATGGAATGAATAAGGTTTTTCAACATTTTAATGGCATTCATCAATGGTCATTTCACGGTGTTGTTGAAGTTATACAGAAGATTTATGATTTTTTATATCACAAAGCCATCAAAGTTCTTGTTATTGAACATTTTTGTGTTTGTCTATGATTTATTTTTTAAATAAAAAGGCTAAAGTCGCAATTTTATTGAATGCGTTTTATTATTTTAAAGTGCAATTCATTCTGTTCAAAGTTGTTCGATAAACACTTATTTTATTTGATTTTTCTATTGAAACGAAAAGTTGTTTCTTATTCGTGTGTTAAAAATTTGCATGAAATTGATAAATAATAATAAAAAAATAAAAAATAGTAATAAAAAAATTTATAATAAATAAAATAAGGTGCAAAACAACTCTTAAGAACCGTAAATTGTGATTCTCGAGTTTTAATATACACCAGTACAGTAAATATACTAAAAAGTATCTTGGAATTAACTTTTCTAACAAGATTTATTTTTAATTCAAATAATTTAATTAAAAAAAAGCCATAAGTTATTTTGCAACTATTGTTTGTAATAAAAGTCTGCTTGAACAACTAAGACAGTGTTTAATAATGTCGGATCGTTGTGTATCCTTTTAAAGCAGACAAAGACTGAATTAATTTTGTGTAAATGTAGGGGTAAAGATAAATAAGAGAATTTTAAAGAGTGGGGTGTTTTTGTGTATTTCGAGTAGCGGCTAACTGCTAAGTTTGTCCCGAACGCCCGTTGACCGCGCAGGAGGTTTGTTCAATCGATATTTACGATGAAGGAAACGCGCGTATTGTAAAAAACAATTAATTGTCCCGGAAAACAGACGAGAAATACATAAATTCACCTTAAAAAAAAAAAAACGCGGTACTTGAAGATATACTCATAACAACATAAGACAGTTATGTCAGTGTATACAAACACACTCATTACGCGTAAACGCTACAGGCGCATGAGCATTTTTTGCCCTTCGCATCGCAAAATCCTCTGAACGCTTACTATTCATAGACGGTGGGGGAGGCAGCGACGACGAAACATCGGAGGGGAGGACGACAAATGCCGGCGCGGCCATGTTGTCGCCGGTGGAATATCAATGCGGTGGAAGTACGTGCGCTCTCAGGACGCAAAGGTTCGCGGGTTGACGATGACATTATGACCGACGGAGGAGAGTGAAGGTTGTAGGGAAAGGCGCGTCGCAGTGATAATGTCACTGGTAATTAGTGCCGCCGGCGTACAATAGGTCGTTGTTGGAATATTAACAGCACACGTTATCCTGCTGTCCCCGGCGTCTTGTTTTTAGTTCTTCCTCCTCGTTCAACATCGCTCTGTTTTTTTCTGGTCTCAATTACTTTATACACTTGTGTGCGCCAGAAGGTTGACTTTTTAATGTCATCCAGTTTCTCAAGACAAAAATACACGTTATACAGAGTGCCTGACAAATCCGTTTCTCAAAACTTTTGATTCGCTAAATATTTGTCGTTACCTTTTAAATGTTTGTATTCATTGTACGAGACTCCATAATAATATCATAAAACACAATACGATCTCGAAATATTATAAGAAAAACATTTGGGATCAAAATCTCTTTTTAAAGTTATACTTTCTTAACATTACTATTTTTAGAATAGAATATAAAATTTTAAATTTCTACGTGTTTTTTCACGGTATCAAACGTTGGTCTATGTACTTATTAGACGAGTATAAAATATCTATCACAATCTCTTATCCTAAATATCGGTTAAAAACAACGAGATTTTTACGAAATTCATCAACATTTTAAAGCATTATTCAAATATTTTCCATCAAAATATTTACAATTTTTAAGAGCTTTTAACATGATTTACCGTAACTATATAACTATTTATTAAACTAACTATATATTTTAGGAATACCAGCCAAGTTAACCAGATTAATATTAGTGTGCAGATATAATTCAAAAAATAAAATTAGTTTTGAAGGAGAATTATCTGAGGAGTTTCTGGCAATAAATGGTCTTAGACAAGGTGACACTATATCACCTGCGCTGTTCAACATCGCTCTAGAATCAGTTATGAGGGTGGTAATGTCCCAAGCTAAGGGCATAGAAATAAAACAGGTGTTACTATGGACTGATACCATTTTTTAAGTCACTACAATTAACAAGAAAATCCATAGTAACATTATATAAAGTTCTAGTCAAACTCGTAACTCTGTATGCAAGCAATACTTATGCGACAGCAAAATTAGATGAAAAAAAGCTAGAAGAGTTTGAGAGAAAGATATTGAGGAGGATATTCGAATCAAAGAGAAACAATATAGGAGAATATGATATACGAGGTAATAAAAACTTAGAAGAACTATATAAAGAACCCAATATTGTTGGGACCTTGAAAAGCGTGCAAAGAGGATGAGCCGGACCTGTATGGAGATCAAAAAGACTAATTGGACAAATAACTGCATGAAAATCAAATGCAAAGAGACCCAGAGGACGACCCAGATAAAGATGAACAAATAGAATAAAAAAAGATCTGATGATTTTGGGAGTAAGAAATGCAGAAGAAAGGGCAAAAGACAGAGAAGATAAGAATCAATATGTTGTTGTAGTAATGAGACTTAAAGGCCTATAAGAAGCCAAAGTAGACGAAAAAAATACTTAACTACTATTAAATACTTTATTAAAGTAACATTTCAAAATTACTAAAAATATAATAAATAATTTATGAAACAAGAAATATATAAAAAATGTCAACAAAGAATAAAAAGTATATAATTTGAAATGATAAAAATAATGGGTATAAAAATGTAACTGTGTTTAGTGAAATTATGGTAAAAATATTTATGTCTATAGTGTCAATAGATTGTAATTTATTGTTATGGTATGTAATGTTAAAAAATTTTGTTTATAAAGACTGTGTGTTTACCTTCAAATAATTTGAAAATGTTTTACTTTACTATGGATGTGTAGTTTTTCTACGGTAACATTTATTATTATAATTATAAACCATAATAAAATAATTTTTTTTTAACCACACTTTTGATTAGTGGTACTGGTACACTTTATACTAAAACAACTTTTTGAAAAATACACACAAGATGAAATTTTTATAGATAATACTCCAAAAATTTATTTTAGATTCAATGTCAATATTTTAATATTCAATTTTTCAGTATATTACAAAAAAACCTATACATCTTTCACAAAATATTATCAAATTAAAGTATCCATACAGTGTACATCGAGTCGATAAAAGTAAAACTTTCTGTAAACTCGATTTCTACGATTGATTGGCGACTAAACTACTTTTTATCACTGCTAGATTTCAGTGTATTGTAGTTTCTTGTAATACCCAGTCTCGCTCCACGACACTGAATGTACTTGTCTCGTTTACTTTTTGAACTATTAAAAATTAAATAAGCTGTGCATCTGTTTTTTCTATATTTTGTTGTCTCTTTTTCAAATATTTTTAATTAAAAATTTTGGGCGTACAATTAACGCAAGACCCGGAGAATTGTGTTATAAACGAAGAAACAAATATAGAGATGGGTTCGGTTCACGTGCAGACAAATTGAAAACATAATTTTATTACAGTGCGGTTCTCGGTATAATAAAAACAAACTGACCCGAGTCGGTCATAAGTGTATTTTAATAGCTACCTCCTCTATAGACCCCGGAAAGCTGAAAAAATCGCATTCACATTTATGTATTTACACAAAGACATTTTATCGAACATTTTGCCACTCCTTAATATAATATATTTTGCTATCGTTGTCGTATTTATTTTATTTATTATAAATAAGACATCAATGACTTGCACATCTACTGTAATGCGATGGCGGCCACTAAGTAACGAAATGCACTACATCGGTTTAACTATAATATCATGATTATTAAAGATACTTTTATATCCAGTGTACTACTCACGATTTGATAACAATTATTTTTAACGGACGATAATGGTTGATTTTAATCAATCACTATTAGCCGCGCATAATAAGCTTATTGATTCTTGAGCATATTTTTACTTGGTATTTAAATGTGAACGCGTTTGAGCTTTACACGAACGTTTCCGAGAATAGTAAATAAATTTCATCGTACATCTGTTCGCTATCTCATCGGGTCGTTTTGGTTTATACCAAAAAAAAGTAAATAAATCACGAAATTTACTGTTTCTCTTGTCTTTCTCGCAGTCGATACTAACAAAACCAAAATGTAATAAATCTCACGAAAAAAACACGTCTTTTCACATGACGAGTCATAAGGGCACTGTTAAAATTTAATGAGCGAAAATTATCGTGTCGATCAGAATAATGTCTACAACGTGAAACGCATGGCATCGACAACACAACCAATTAATGATTATTGTTTATTAAAATTGTTGTTTAGTGCTTTTAAATAAACGATTCTAATATCTATTGCAAAGGTCGAGAAGTAAGTCGCGTTTATACCGATCGGTTGATGATCGGCGATTGAGTAG